TACAAATGCGACAAAACACTAGGGCATTGAGGTCTGAAAGCATGACCACTGCGTCTGCAGCCATTCAGAGTTGGTACCAACAAGTAGGTCACAATCCACAAGCCACGGAAATATGGTTAAAGGGCCAGAGATCACCAGATGAGTGCTCTCAAATTGAATACGGTCAGTTCATTGCCCTGATGCAATCTTTCTTGATTTGTCAGCAAGCGACCTTTCGATTGGGATTACACGGTGCAGTAGATGCCGACATTCGGGAGTCGTTGAATACAAATCTGCTTAATCTCAAGGATAATCCTGGTTTTAAGCGTTTTTGGAAAGAACGATCTGATCAATTTGATTCGCCTTTTCGACTTTTTGTAGAGGAAGCCATGGCGTCGGGCATCCCATCGGGCGGGTCGAGTTTATATACGTGGGAAAACCAGAAAGACTGAAAAGACCGGGCTTGGCCGTTGTTGCTCTAATTGAGTTGAAATCGCCAATTGAGTTGAAATCGCCTAATGGCAGGAAATTCGCAAACTTGCCGTCGACTGGATTTCATGGATTAGGCTCGGAAGACCCACAACAGACTGACGAGGAGCTTAGGTGTCAACCCCGTACCCTCTTAGAATTGAGCCCCTTTCAGCCGTATTAACCAGCACATCCACAAATTCTGTGAAATCAGCTTCATACAAATGGCGCCTTGATTCCCACAGCAGCTGACCAGAGGCGCTCGAGAAGTGAAGCCCCATATTTGCAACTAAAGGCTTCAGTTTGGCCTCATCGAGAAGGCCGAGTTCAAATTGATGGTGGGCAGACTCTACCGACCTGAGAAGAATGAGCATCCAGCTGTTGTATCGAAGCGTCTCAATCTCGCTTAACTCTCCGTTTGCTACACCCCTTTGGATGATCTCAATCAGTTCGGCGTTTCCCACCATTTGAAGCACAGCCTCATTTAAGCCGGTAGCGATGGAATCAAATGTCTGCCCTCGCACTGCTCGAGAATTTTCTCGAACCTGTATTCCTACATAGAAAAGTGATGCCACAACTGCAATTGCTCCAGCTAACTCAGCAAATGCCCCTACCGCATCCCAATTCATATTCATGTACGTATCTCCCCTGTCGCTCAACATTGAGTTAGACAGAAGTATGCAGAGAGTTCGACTTGCCTGCATCAAATCTTAATGAACGCAGTTGGCCGATTTGCACCATCTTAAAGCTGGCAGATAACGGCCGCTTTAGAACGAGCGCTTTCAAAACTTTAACTTGAGCAACCAAAACAGCAGGGGAACGATCCCACAATCACTGATTTACAACCATCGAAGCACGTATAATAATGTTTCCCATTATTTACTTGGTTGAGATCAGGATAGATTTATGTCGCAGAACAAACCTCTCAAATTCAAAGGTGTGCCGGGATCACCCTACACCCGGAAAATGCTGGCCTACCTGCGCTTTCGCCACATCCCCTATGAGCTGCTGATTGGTGATCAGAGCGCAGCGCTGGGTCTCCCGGAAGCAAAGGTTGGGCTGCTGCCAACCTTTTACCTGCCCAACGCCAACGGGGAGTTGCAGGCGGTGGTCGACTCAACGCCTTTAATCCGGCGCTTCGAGACTGAATATAGCGGTCGTGCCGCGCTGCCCACCAACCCTGTGTTGAACTTTCTGAATTACCTTATCGAAGACTATGCAGACGAATGGCTGACCAAGGCGATGTTCCACTACCGCTGGTATTACGATGCAGATATCGACATGGCAGGCACGATACTGCCGCATTGGAGCAACATTCAGGCACCCGCTGAGGCGCTGAATAAGCTCAAAAAGTATATCTCCGAGCGGCAGATCTCGCGCCTCTACGTAGTGGGTTCTAACGACACCACAGCACCGGTCATTGAAGCTAGCTACAAACGCTTTCTCGGCATTCTGGATGCCTTGATCGAGAAGCAGAAGTTTGTGTTAGGTGCTCGCCCTTCATCGGCGGATTTTGGTTTGTATGCACAACTGACTCAGTTAGCTAAGTTCGATCCTACACCTGCTGCAGAATGTCTGGCTTCTGCCCCCAGAGTATATGCGTGGACTGACCTGGTAGACGACCTGAGTGGTCAGCCCGCAACGGACGATGCTTGGATGCCTGTAAATGATGTATCTGCTGTATTGGGTGATCTGCTGGGTGAAATTGGCCGCACTTACGCACCCGCATTACTCGCCAACGCTGCAGCCATTCAGGCGGGGCAGGACCAGATGGAGACCACCATTGACGGACAGCCATGGACTCAACCCACTTTCCCCTACCAGGCTAAATGCCTGCAATGGATCAACGCCGAATACCAGCAGCTTGACTCTGCGGCACAATCCCAGATAGATGACATACTGGCTGGCTCTGGCTGCGATGCCATTATCTTTAAGGACATCGGATGAAAAAAATACTGATCGGAATAATCGTTCTCGCAGTACTCATCGGTGCTGCCGCGGCATTCGTCTTCAACACAGCCCCAGGACAGGATGCATTATTCAAGCGCGCAGCCACCGCGGCTATGAGCCAGGCTGCGGACAAGTTCGACGGCATGCGGGTTGTCGTGTGTGGCAGTGCCTCACCTCTGGGTAACGACCCCAACCGGGCACAGGCCTGTATTGCTGTTGTCACACCAGAACATCTCTTTCTGTTTGACGTTGGCGCGCGTTCACCAACACGCATTGCACAAGCACGCTTGCCGCTGGGCCGAATAACCGGGGTCTTTCTCACGCATTATCATTCAGATCACATCGCTGCACTGCCCGATGTCAATTTGACATCGTGGGTGCAGGCGCGACCTGGACCACTACAAGTCTACGGCCCAACCGGTGTCGAAACTGTTGTAGCTGGGTTCAACACAGCTTATGAACTGGACCGCAGCTACCGCACTGCGCATCACGGCAGCGACATGCTGGCGCCGGAGCGCGGATTTATGCAGGCCAATACAATCGCTACCGATGGCGTGGTGTGGCAGGACGATAAGCTGACCATCACTTCATTTACCGTCGAACATCCGCCCATTGAGCCAGCGGTTGGCTATCGTGTGGACTACCGCGGACGGTCTGTGGTGATCTCTGGTGATACCAATGCAGCAGACACGCTCTTTACCGCAGCCAAAGATGCAGATCTGCTGTTTCACGATGCGCTGTCACGCACCCTGCTGGACCCAATGATCGAAGTCGCAACCGAAGTTGGTGTACCGCGCATGCCCACCATCATGCACGACGTTATTGAATACCACGCTGACGCCACCACTCTGCCAATGCGATCAGCCGCAGCAGGCATCAAACAACTGGTGTTCTATCACATGGTACCGGCTCCCATGAATGCGCTGGCAGCCAACATGTTCCTGCGGGATCTACCCGATAGCATTATCCTCGCTAACGACTTACATACCTTCGATCTGCCACCGGATTCCACCGATATCATCATTCATGAACCTTAAGACCAGAATTCGTTCTGTCTTCGCAACGCACTTTGCTTCCGCAGAGTACCTCGAGAAACAGCGCACCAAAGCGCGCAAGCGCCGTGAGAAACAGGGCAATCCACCGACCGTACACTACTTTCACCAGGTGGATGATCCGTACAGTCACCTGGCGGTGCAGAAACTGGACCTGCTGAAAGCGCGATATGAGCTCAAGTTCCAACCTTACCTGGTATCAAAGCCCGAAGCCGTCTACCAGGGTAGTTCAGCACACTTTGACAAGTGGGCACTGCGCGATGCATTGAGTGTCGCGACAGACTACGGCACGGTCTTCTCGCCCACACTCGACACACCTTATGCCGACGCGGTGGTTATCGCCAACCAGGTCCTCGCTGCCCATCTCGATCATGACGACTTTGCCCAGATTGCGTTAGACGTAGGTACCGCGTTATGGAAAGCAGCGCCAATCGGCACAACTGACAACTCAAGCCTCTCTGAAAATCAGGGTGAAAGTGCCGTCAGCGAAGGGAACAAAAAACGCCGTGCACTTGGCCACTACCAGGGTGCGATGTTCTATTTTGACGGCGAGTGGTTCTGGGGTATCGATCGCATCCGCTCGTTAGAGGCACGTCTCGCGCAGGAAGGGTTCGACCGACAATCCGGTCCACCAAGCGTGCCTGAACCCAAACCTGATACCATCCAGGGCAAAAATCCGGATGGTATTCTGCTCGAATACTTCCCTTCCCTGCGCAGCCCCTACACCGCTATCGGTCACCAACGCGTGCTGGACCTTGTCAAAATCAGCGGTGTCAGCGTAAAAGTGCGCCCGGTCATACCTATGATGATGCGCGGTATACCCGCGCCGCGAGCCAAGCAGCGTTACATCATTACCGATGCCGCGCGTGAAGGCCGCGAGCATGGCGTGCCTTTAGGGCGTATCGTCGACCCTCTCGGAGAACCGGTAAGACGCGCATTCGCGCTGTTCCCGGCAGCCAATGCCGTCGGACGGGGTATGGAGTTTGTGACCGCATATCTCAATGCCGCCTGGCTCGAAGGCATCGACATAACTACCGAACAAGGCCTCAAACAGGTGACCAGCAACGCCGGTTTGGATTGGCAGGAACTGTCGCAACCCTCCAAAAGTGACGACTGGCAGGCTATATTAGACAGCAACTTACAGTTGTTAACCCGGGAGAATCTCTGGGGCGTACCGAGCTTCAGAGTATCGGGTGGCAACATAACGCAGCCCTACGCCTGCTGGGGCCAGGACCGCATCTGGCGCGTTGCCAACGAGATTGCAAAGAGAACTTAGTGGAAAAAGCCTTAGACAACCGTCGCGCACGGGGTGAAGCAACCAAACTTGCACTCATGCGCGCAGCCGAAAAACTGATTGCAGAACGTGGTGTTGAGAACGTTTCGATCAGAGAGATCGTCGCCGCCGCCGGACAGAAAAACGAATCTGCTCTGCAATATCATTTCAAAAACCTACGCGGTCTGCTGCGCGCTATCCGTAGCGAGCGATCCGAAATGGTTCAGGCGAGGCGCGCAGAATTACTGCAGGAACTGCTAACGGAAACGAGCAAACCTTCACTGCAGCAACTCTGCGGTCTCATGGTTGAACCCACCTTCCAGCTGGCACGCAGCAACGTCGATTTTCGTCGCTACATCAAAGCGTTTGGTCACGAACTGGCGCTGATCGAAACTTCTCCATTGAAGGCAGTCTCCAACACTGGTGGGGGTGGGGTAAGTGGTCAACAGATGGGCCGATTGCTGCGTGAGGCGCTTCCCCATCTCGACGAAGGCGATTACAGACGCCGAATGGAAGCTGCCATCATGCTCTGTGCCGCCTCCATGTATCACCACGCCCGACAGAATAACGCTTTTCGAGGGCGTGAGTCAGAACTGTTCCTGCACAGCCTGCTGGATGCTTTGTTTGGCCTGTTAGGCGCACCCGTATCGCCGAATACTCTTGCCCTCAAGCAGGGCATCTGAACCCACGATCTAGTTGCTCCAGTAAATATAGGTATCCGTTTGCGGATCACGTTCCTGCCGCAGATGTTTGTCCACGTTAACTGGCATTGCCGCGACTGAATCCCACAGGGGTGGCACCATCTCGGCATTGTGTTGCGCCAGCAAGGCCATCATCTCCTCAACCTGACCAGGATGCTGCTCAGCAATATTGGTGGTTTCTCCCGGATCACGCGCCAGATCAAACAACCAGGTTTTGCCCATCAGCGGATCAACCGCCAGCTTCCAGTCATGATGGCGCACGGTTCGATAGCTGCCGGCGCGCCAGAACAGAGTCTTGTGCGGTTTAGCCAAATTGTTGTTGCCCCGGGCATACGGCAGCAGGCTGACGCCATCGATGTCATGATCGATCTGCGCACCCGCAGCATCAGCCGCGGTGGCAAAAATATCAAAATGGTGAACTGGTGACTCAGAGGTTTGTCCCGCAGGAATGTTTGCCGGCCATTTGACAAAGAAGGGGACGCGGATACCGCCCTCAAAATTAGTAATTTTCCAACCCCTGAAAGGTTTGTTCAGGTCCGCAATGCCGACATAACCCGCACCGCCGTTATCCGAGGTGAAAATAACAATGGTGTTTTCATCCAGGCCATTGTCTTCCAAAGCCTGCAAAACCCGTCCGACGCCACGATCCAGGCCCCGGATCATGCCCGCATAAACCCGTTCAGTGTGATCTTCGATGTGGGAAAGCGCGTCGTAATCCTGTTTAGCCGCCTGCAGTGGTGTATGCGGTGCCCAGTGGGCAAGGTAAAGGAAAAATGGGCGATGACGGTTATTCTCGATCACCTTAACCGCTTCGTCAGTGTAGTAATCTGTGAGATACCCACCGGGTTCAAACGCCGCACTGCCATTGTAACTTGCAGCATATTTCATACCTGCCCACAAAAACCGGTCAATCGGGTCGTACGGGAGCCTGGCGTTGATCACATCGGGGTTGTCTTCTTCTGCATACAAACCGGAATGCATCAGCAGACTCTGATCAAACCCCTGGTCGTGAGCTGCACTGCCGTTTTCCCGACCCAGATGCCATTTACCAATGTGCGCAGTGTAGTAGCCCTGCTCTTTCAACAATTCGGCAATAGTGATTTCACTGGCTGGCAGTCCCATCTGTTCGAAGGGGATAGTACGGGGCTCTGGGGTACGCACAGGCTGCAGTCCCATGTTGCTGCTCATCATACCCAGCGCGGTTGACATGCCTGGCGGTGTCGGCGTGAATTCAAACCCAAAGCGCGAGCCATATCGGCCGGTCATCATCATGGCACGCGATGGTGCACAGGTTCCCTGACCTGCGTAGCTGCTCAAAAAATTGATGCCTGCCTGGGCTATGGCGTCAATGCTCGGTGTCGGGACTGTACCGCCGGCCACGCCACCGCCATTAAAGGTCAGGTCGTTCCAGCCAAGATCATCAGCAACAATAAGCACGATGTTCGGCTTTCTATCAGCGCTCTGTGGTGCAGCCGGTCCGCTCTCCCAGTCTATTGCCTGGTGAGGTCCAACCGGTGTGCGCTGATCTGACATGACAGAGATTCCCGTCAGCATGATTTCAACCCGGAAGACATATGCAGCCAGAATCAACGATGCAAAACAAAGTGCAGTGATAAGTATTCGTTTCCCGCCCATGATTTTGTAAGCCCCCGTTCGTTATCCGGCTGTATTGATTTGCAGCCAGCTTGACATATAATGCCTTACATTAAAATACCTGGCCACTGGAACAATGAAAATTCTACGCACGCCTGACGAACGTTTTGAAGGACTGATGGATTACCCGTTTGCACCTCACTACACAACCATAAAAACTCACGACGGCAGCGATCTGCGCATTCACCACCTCGATGAAGGTCCCACTAACGGCCCCCTTGTTTTGTGTATGCACGGTCAGCCGGTCTGGAGCTATCTATATCGGCATGTCATTCCCCATCTGACCGCAGCCGGCCTACGGGTAATCGCTCCGGATCTGGTCGGATACGGTAAGTCTGACAAGCCTGCGGCACGGGAGGATTACAGCTATGAACGCCAGGTTGAGTGGATGGGCAAGTGGCTGGAGGCCAACAATTTTTCGGGCATTACTTTCTTTGGTCAGGACTGGGGTGGTCTTGTCGGGCTGCGTCTGGTGGCCAACCATCCCGAGAGGTTCGAACGTGTCGTGATCTCCAATACCGGACTACCTTATAACCCCGACGTACCCGCTGAGGTAGTCAAAGAAATTGAAGACTTTCGGGCCAACCAACCGACACCGAGCCTGATAGAAATGCAAAAAGCATTAAGCAGCATGGGCAGTGGTGAACATCCGGCGCGCAAATTTGCCTACTGGCAGAAATGGTGTTGGGAAACCGAAGATTTACCTGTGGGCTTCATGATGTCCATGATGCTGCAACCGCCGGCAAAACCAGTGCAGGCGCTGAAATTCCTGCTGAATAAAATGGGGATCACGTCACCCCTGCCTACCCCCCTGGCCAAGGCATACGAAGCGCCGTTTCCGGACCCGAGTTACAAAATGGGGCCTCGGGCCATGCCAAGCCAGGTGCCAACCTTACCCACGTCTCCATCTCTGGAAGAACAACGTAAAGCCTGGGCATTTTTTGAGTCGTTTGATAAACCTTTCCTCTGCGCATTTGCCGACAACGACCCGGTCACCCGCGGTGGGGATGCTCAATTCAGGGAAAAAGTGCCAGGGACCAAAGGTTTACCGCATACAACCATCAAAGGCGGGGGTCACTTCGTCCAGGAGGGCGCGCCAGAACAGGTTGCGCAGGTGATCGTCGACCTGATTCGATCCACGTCTTAGCGGCTTGTTATGACATCAGCTCAAGGGTATCTGGGATGAATAGAGTTTTGTGGATCTGGATTGTCTGCGGCGCGATTTATCTGGGCTTTTTCAGTTGGTACACCTCTTTTCGCGGACCACTTTCTGAAGCGGAAATTGAGCAGTACATGGCTTACTTCCAGCGCGAGGGCGCGGATGCAACACCGGAACGCCTGGCAAACCTGCATCGGTTTATGCAGGAAGATACCGGTGACGATTTTGTCATGGTCAATGTGATCGACATGTATGATCAACCGCTGGCGCTTGCCGGTGTGGAAGCCACCGATTCCAGTGACGATGTGCTGAACAAATACATGCAGTATATGTATCCGGAACTGCTTGTCCGAGCATCACATCCGGTGCTGTTCGGCGATGCTGCTGGTAGTGCATTGGATTTAATGAATGCACCCGGCATGCACAAATGGACTCGTGGCGCAGGTATGCGCTATCGCAGCAGAAGAGACATGTTGGAAATATCGACCAATCCTGAATTTTCCGGCGCCCATGAGTTCAAGATTGCCGCCATGGCGAAAACCATCGCCTTTCCCATCGACCCCTGGTGGCAACTTGGTGATCCGCGTCTGATTCTCGGCTTAATTCTGGCACTAATCGCCAGCACCCTCAGTTGGTGGTCGACGGTAAGACGCCAGCACTAAAACAGCAAAGAGCGCTAACTACCGAGAAAAGTCTGCCGCTCATTTCCTTAATCGGTACGCCACCAGGAAAGGCAGCAGAATGAGCACCGTCAGCAGAAATATGATGAATCCAACACCAACGGGTTCCGCCAGATAGTTAGACAACGCCTGGCCTGTTTGCGAATACCCTGCAGGGACTGGTCTCACTTTATTGTCTATAGTGAATTGCTCGTAGCCCAACAGCATACGCTGAAACCGATCGGGTTCCGCCGCCTTTAGGTCGTTTACTTCGCCAGGATCCACCATGATGTTGTACAGACGCCATTCTCCGCTCCCCAGCGGTGGACCGTTGCGCACAAGTTTATAGTCGCCTTGAAAAAACGCGGCGTGGCCGGTCAGTTCGTATCCCACCGAATCGTCTTCACCGTATACGCGCTCGGCTTCGCCGCTGAGTATCGGTAACAGATCGCGGCCACTCATAGGCAGAATCGGTCTGCCACCATATCTGGGACCTGGCCTGTCGACCCCGGCTATCGACAAAAGAGTGGGTGTGATATCGGTAGCCCAGGCAAAGGCATGGGTGAGCTTTGCCGAAGCGCTCAGCGGATCACCCGCAAAGATCAACGGTACCCGCAATCCCCCTTCACCCGTATAAAACTTGTAATAAGCAAGCGGACTGGCTGCCGCACTGGCAAAACTGGGGCTGATACTGTTGTAACTACCCTTCAGGCCAAGTCGCTCATAATCGTTATGATAGCCCAGGCTCCTGGATACTCTGCTGCTCGCAAAGCCTTCAGGATCATCCGACCCGCTGGCCTCTGCACCATTGTCCGAGGTAAATACAAAAACAGTGTTTTCATAGACGCCCTGCGCCTTTAAATACTCGATCAATCGGCCGATGTGGAAATCCATCGCTTCAATCATGCCCGCGTAAACAGCCATACGCTTGGCCTCGTAACGTCTGCGCTCCGCACTGAGCAAATCCCACTCCCCGGTACTGGCCATGCGCACCATACCTGTATCGGCAGGAACAAGGCCCAACTCTATCGCCTTCTGGCGCCGCTGCGCTCGCAAAGCATCCCACCCCTGATCATAAACGCCCATGTAGCGGTCAATGAATTCCTGGGGTGCCTGCACGGGAATGTGCACCGCCTGGAACGGCACGTAGGCAAAGAATGGTTTACCGTCCTGCAGATTACCGTCGATAAACTCAATGGTTTTGTCGATCAGAAAACGGGAGGAATAGAAATCCTCCGGCAAATCGAAACGTTCACCGTCTGCAAACCAGTTCGCCTGCTCATAGATCGGCAGATAGGGTTTCTGCTCCCAGTTGTCCGCACCGGAGTCCATCAATGCCACCGTTCGCTGGAAGCCTCGACGGCTTGGCCGTTTGTCAGGGGTAGCACCCAGATGCCATTTGCCAGCCAGGTACGTATGGTAGCCGGCGTCTTCCAGCAACGTCGCGACGGTCACCACATTGCTGCCGAGCACACCCTGATAGTTTTCGTGGACACGCTGCTCCGGCGCAAGCATCTCAGGGATGTTGGGTACGCCAGCAAGATGATTGTTAACCCCGGTCAGTAACATCGCACGAGCAGGCGCACAGTTCGCTGCGGTGTGATAATTCGCAAACCTGATGCCTTGATGCGCCAGAGCTGACAGTGTCGGCGTATTCACCTCCCCACCGTAAGGTGCAATATCCGTGTACCCCAGGTCGTCCGCAAGAATGAAAACGATATTGGGACGCACGCCATCCGGGCCGGACGCACTCGCCGCAAATGCCAATGCACTGTTACCTGCCAGAATGGCTACGAACAGTGCCTGCGCACACCTGAATCTGAAGCAGAAATTGTCCACGCGCCTACTCCCGCTCCGGCAGCCAGCGTGACGCCGCCAACAGCAACGCGGCCACCACAATTTCAAACGCGATCATGCCGCCGGCGAAAGAAGCATCGTGCAACGCCCAGGCAAGGACTCTACCAATTGCGGCGAGCAACAGCAGCATAGCCGGCGGGTAGTACCAGAGTCGCCGACCACTGACGAGCGCCATTAGAATGCATAATCCGAGGGTCAGGAAGAACGCTGCAAAGTCACCAACCTGGGAGCTGCGCCCTAAACCATCACCTAGAACAAAGCCGAACTCCGGCGCAATACCGACCGGGTCAACCAGCCAGCGCAAACCCATAACCACAAACAGCACGGCTGGCAGCCCGACAATAACTTTCAGGACCGTTTTCATTCAGACAATTCCTCCTCGGAATTTCGACCAGGACAACCACCGCCCCACCCGTTGCATAAATTTCCAATAATCATCCATAACGGGTAGACGTGGCAGGCACAATCATTCACCCGTTCAGGTGGAACCCTCTAACGTAATGTTTTACATTAAAGTAAGCAAGCAGGTGCGTTAAAAATCTGGACATGTGGCCATGATCAGCAAACTTTCAAAATATATTCTGGGCACGTTGATTGCCTTCATCGTAATCGTTTTCGGCGTTTTCTGGTTTGTTTTCTTCTCATCCCGCCCACCTCTAACCATCGACCCGGCAATCCTGGCCGGCGACGGCAGCACCCTCAATTATTGTGAACTACCGGCTCTGGACGGCAGCGGCAAAATGGCAGCGGATATACCCAAAGGCAACACACCAGGTTGCAGCTACACGCACTTTCCTTTGCCCGTTTTGCGAGAGTGTACCGAGCCGCTACCCGGGGGTGCTGACGATATTCGCGGCCTCTGGCGCGGCGTCTCGGGCCGCGTTGGTCACGTCGAGCGCATAGAACAGTGCGGCCCACGTGTTGTTGTCACCACCAGCGGCATCATTCACGACTCCGGGCCAAACAGCACCGCCAGTTACAACTCTAATGACACCGAAGGCGCCGTGCTGTTTACCCTGGGTGATCGCGAGTATTGCCCCCGAAGTTCCGCCGGCATGTTCTGGAACAACGGCGTGCTGGAATTCAAAGCGTTCGGCTGGGGGCCAGTAGTCGTACGTCGTTATATGGATGGCGAACAACTGATATGGGAATACGCTGATGGCAGCGTTACCCACATGGAACGCCTTTGCACGCTGCCAGAGGCTCACAAAAAGCCACCCATGAGAGGCCCGCGCTACGCATTTTTTTGAACACCGGAGGGACTATTTCCCGACTGAATCGATACCAGAACCACCCAGCCAGATACCACCGGCATTTGTGGTCTCGATATTCAACTGTCCAGCCAGCCCCGCATCCCGGTGATGATGAATCGCCTGATATTCTTCTGACTGCATCATCTCGATCATGGCTTGTCTGTTTGGATACATGGCGATGGCAACCGAATCCCACAGCTCTTCAACCTCACCCAGCATCAGCCGTTCAACCTTGGCGTTGAACATACCGCCACCACCAAGGTTCACCAGTATTTCCGAAACAGCCGCGCCATACAGCGCATAAGCTTCAACGCCGGATAAGTCGGTTTCGCGCCCATCCGCGTATTCGGCTTTCTCTTTGAACTTAAGCAGATTAAGCATATAGATTGGCCCTTCCGCACCTGGCGTAAAGAATCCTTTGATCTGCTCTTCGCTGGGCGTAAGTTTGTTTTCGACTTGCATTGACCGTCCTCATTTAAGGGTGGATAAATGGTTAAACAGAGGACAAAGAAGCCCTCTGCTGCCTGATCACATTCATTGCGAGCATATCGGTTTAATTAATGCACGTCATTATAATTGATCGAGCGGTATTATCGATAACATATCGATGTTCTTATACGTTTCATCGCGCTCGCAGGTGATTCGCAGCTGGTGATCTCCTGGGGACAAGCCGAGTCTTTCAAAGACTTTCACGTAGTACTGTCCATGTTCGCTGGCGTTGTTAGACAGGTCGACGATACTCTGCTCCCCATCCAGGGCAACGCTTACCTTCCCAGCCCCAGCATGTCTGAACGCGTAGTACTGCACTGCCGTGCCACTGAACATTATTTCGGCAGCGCAATCGGACTGGCCCGACGTCAAAGTCGCCCCGGATGCGTTCCATTTCTGACCTTCAGTGGTGAAACCGCTGTACTGCCAGCGGGGGTCCGTATCTTCGATGGTCTCCCACGGTATAACCGTCTCTTCAACTGCAGACCTGACAATGTCATCATGCATGGCTGGAATCACCCAGTGGCCGTCAACAACGTCGCCGCCCATACCCTGCACGACGACGCCATCGATGATGTCCAGACCACGCGTCGCCATGTCCGTGAAGTTATCGGGCGCTGCAGGAAAGTTGTAGCGTGTGCGGGTAATCAGATAGTCATCAGAGAAGTCCGTTTTATTGAAGTAGTCCTGCAGCGCCTCATAGCCGTACAACAATCCCAATAAGCCACCCCAGGTTGCCGTTGGGTTGTCCGAATCCCAACCCGCAAGGGTGCCGATGCGGATCGTTTTTCTATAGTCCCCTTCCCCATAAAGCAGACTTACGATTGAAGCGGCGAAGTTGATGCCCGCATCCCAGGGATACTTGTACTCATAGCCGGCCGCCCCCTGTACCTGGTAGCGTTCATAGACTCTGTCGCGGGTCTGCTCCCAGTTATCTTTGTCTGGGTTGCCGTCGTATTGTGCCTCGACGAAGTCATACATATCCGCAATGTACGACCAGTCCGGTACGCGCTTGCGGGCTTCCCGAGCCATCCAGAACACCTGCTCTTTGCGCGACAAACCGGGATCGGCCAGTGCAACCAGGGAATGCATGATCACGTAGAACTCCGCAGCCCACTCCGAATGCAGGTAAGCTGTAGTACGGATGGGCAGATGCGACATCTGCAGCGCCACATCCGGGCGCGCCGGGGCCATGGCACCAAATATTTCAGTGGTCAGTTGCGCATCAATCATGTCCCACATTGGATTGTTCTCAGGCAGGGAGGTTACCGGCGGCAGCGCCCCATTCTGCATCTGCCCAAGTGCCGCAAGGTTCGACACCCACAGCAACGGTAGACCTATGTGCCTCTGCCATGCAGCAGCAATCTGTTCAGCCGTGAGCATGTAGCTGTCGCTTTGCTCCATGGCCTTTTGATAAACGTACTCAATATCCGTATCGTCATCCGCGCCCCATGGGTCATTGCCCAGCACATAATCGACAACTTCTCCTGCCCGACCGATCCGCTTCTGCCAATCATCGTCATTGAAGAACGGCGGCGCAGCACGAACATTTTCAGTTGGCAAACCGGTCCAGTTCGCAATGGAACTGCCCAGCCAGAATCCACGCAGTCTGTCATGGTATTCGCTTCGGTCAATTTCGATATCAGCACCATTGCTGCAGGCGGCCATCTGAACCAGCAGAATCGCATAGAACAGAACCCATGTTGTTGCCTTCATGGGTTAAGTCTTACTTTCATACGTTGATCTTAGCAGCGTCATTGATCACCCATTGTTTGGTCGAACCCAAGAAGCTTTCCGGTCGCGAGCCTTAGAACGCTGGCAGCTTTGGTTACACTCAATCGCTGATCCCGTCGCAGGCTGACCCAGTAGTCTATACCCAACACGCCATCAACGGCTTCAAACACGACCTGATCCCGCGTGATTTCTTCGGGGAGAATGTCCATCAGCCTTTTACGTCGTCGCGCTATACCCGCTCGCTGGCCGGAATCAGATGTCGACGCACGATACCGGCTCCAGATGGTTGATATATAAAGCGGCAGCAACGACTCATAAACCCGAACACGTCGATCAATCACCTGCTGTATCTGTTCATGCCAACTACTCTCCGCCTGCACGGTAAAAGGTTCATCCATCACAGCCGCTGCTTTACCCTCAGCATCCGCGATCAGGCTGCGGTGCAACGAGTCCATATCCGGAAAGTGTCGGAACAGAGTCCTTGGTGTAATGCCAGCACTGTCGGCAATCTCTCTGGCGGTGGGATCGATAGTCCCACCAAGAATCAGCCCGCGCGTCGCGTTCAGGATTTCCCGGCGCGTCGCGGCTGTGCGTTCAACCCTTCCATCCACCTTTCCTGCGGTAGATGCAGATTCTGCCTGACTCACTGAAAGGTCTCGCGACTGGCCAGTGTTCGCATGACTGTTGCAAATTCCGCCGGCCCCGCGCCGTTTTCACCTTCGGCGAACAACATCGGTTGTCCTGTCGAGAACTGGGCCACCACAGTCCCTTGTCGGCGATCGATCCACAGATACTGGTCGAACGCACCCGCTGCAATAAACTCCTGATCATAGTTATGGGGTATCCAGAACTGGACGCTGTAGCCACGCTGCAGGTCACCGACTTCATCGATTCGAGGTTCCTGGAATGGTGCCTGGGGGTTTTCGACCATGGAGAACCAGTCGTCGCGAACCGTCTGATCACCTTCCATAACAAGGTCTTCAACGTAGAGCTGGCCAAGGTGAGCAAACTCTTCCAGGCGCAATGAGAGGCAGCAGTGCCCCATAGCGTGACCGCTACCATCCAGACCCCAGGTTGCATCGCCGCCGAATCCACCGCGCTGCCAGAGTCGATCCTGCACGATCTCGGTAAAGGGGAGTCCATAAACTCCCCTGAGAACCGCAGCCAGCACATGGGTATCTGTGGCGATGTAGTTGAAGTCCGTCCCTGGGGGTACACGGCGCCCCAGCGCACCGGCCCATGCATCAAAGTCCTGCCGCTCCTGGATGATGTCCCAGTACATATCGTTGCGGTCAGGCTTGCCTTTGAAATGAAAGAAGTTAATGCCGGATGACATCATCAATACGTGGCGGATCGAGCTTTCGCCGTAAGCAGTGCCGCTGAACTGCGGGGCGTATCGCTCCACCTTGTCATCCAGACTTTCAATCCTGCCTTCAAAATGTGCCATCGCCACAAGTGTTGAGGTAAAGCTCTTGCTTGCGGACCAGATGTGGTTACGACTCTCCCGGTTCAGACCTTTGCCGTAGTACTCAAGTTTGATCTCACCGTCCTGCAGAACCATCAGGCCCGAGATATTTGCCTTTTCGAGATAAGCAGTCAGGGGCAGGCGCTCATTTCCCATGGTGTAAAAAACGCTTTCCGGTGAAAAGACATGTCGCCGGTATTGCCTGGGATTTGTCGACGACTGCAAGCGAGCTACGGGCTGAATGACTGCCCAATTGGAAAAAACCTCGGCCCGCATTCGCTCAAATGGCAGCGTGAACCAACGCCAGCTCTGCAGGTCGTCCCAGGGCTTCGTAATCCAGGTGGTGCCGCCGATGAGAAGCACCAGCACAAGGATACCTGCCGTTTTGGCGACACGCTTGATGAACAGCAGCATTAAAATACCGTTTGAAATATTATGTCACCGAGAGTGACAATATATTTTTCCTATGTCAATATCGTCCAACATAACCTCCCTGAAGCGTATTAACAGATATGAGTGATCAACTGTCGATTGATGTCTTCTGGTCTTTCAGAAGCCCATGGTCATACCTGGCAACCCCGCGGCTAAGGCAATGGCAGAATGACTATGACCTGGCGGTCAACTTCCGCCCGGTGTATCCGATTGCAATCAGAACCCCTGAGTTTTTTCAGGCGGTGCAGCCGCAATGGTTCTCCTATTTCCTGACAGACATTTTTCGTGTTGCAGAGTTTCTTGATCTGCCGTTTGCCTGGCCGAATCCGGATCCTGTTGTGCAGTATGTGGATGAGCAGGGACAGCGCAGGACGGGCGAGGAGCAGCCGTACATCTACCGGTTGACACGACTGGGAGTGCTGGCAGCAGAACAGGGTAAAGGTATTGAGTTCGCCGACGAAATCTCACGCCTCATCTGGGGTGGCACGACCAACTGGCATGAAGGCGTTCATCTTGCAGAAGCCAGCGATCGAGCGGGGCTATCTCTGCAGGAGTTGGATCAGCAGGCCATAGACGACGAAAGCCGCTTGGAAACGGTCATCGCACATAACCAGGCCGACCATGACAAAGCAGGCCACTGGGGGGTACCGACCTGCGCATTCGAAGGCGAGCCTTTTTTCGGTCAGGACCGCCTGGACGTCCTTCTGTGGCGTCTCAAACAGGCTGGTCTGAAAACCCGCTAAGGCTGCGTTAACGCAATGAAAAAACTGGCCATTCTGCTGATTACAGTGGCGGCAGCCGCTCTGGCGATCGCATTTTACATTGGGTGGGAACGTTCCGAGAGAGCAGACCTCGTTAGTGCGCGCGGGTTACTGGAAGTCGACAATGGCGACGCACAATTCTGGTTGATGCAGGGCGGAGCCAACAATCGTTACCTACCTTGCACGGTACACTACTATTTTGATCAACCATTAGACGAATCGCTTGTACTGAATCGCCTTAAAGATCTGGTCGCACCTTATCAGATGTTCAAGCGCAACGTCGTTGAAGTGGACGGTTTGCCTTACTGGCAGCCTGCCAAGCCAGACTGGCGCCAGAACTTTCGCCGGCTCTCTGCAGAAGAAAACATGACCTCGGTCAGAGTTACAGCTGACAGGGCGCTTTCCCAGGCGCAGGAGGTGGGTGCTGGCATCCCTTTGTTCAGAGCCTTTCTGTCTAACGATGGTCGTCAGCTGACGTTCATGTGGCACCACGTCATTTCCGACTTTGAAGGCATGTTCAACAAACACGCACGGCACCTGTTTCAGGTTGATATCGAGCGAACCAGATTTGGCTATCAGATTGAAAACCCAGGACGCGCGGAGCAGGCAGATGACGCCACCTCCCCTCTCCTGCGTCTCAACAGGACTTTTGCGGAGCGACCCCTCGGCTTCGAAGAGACCGGATTTGACGTCAGGAAGTTTGTCCTGCCGATCGAAGATAAGGCACTGCACGATCGAGGACGTACCATGGGCCTGCCAATGAGCGATATTTTTTCGTTCATCACCATGCGGACCGTGACCCTCTACCATGAATCCAAGCAAGACGGAATGCAGAGCAGCCTCCGTCCTGTCGTCAGCCCACTCAGTCTGCGCAAGAGTTCCCTGGCAACCGATGAGGGCAACAACCGGGTGACAAAGCCGTTCCCCCTGGTGTTCCCGCTGGAGAGCGTCGAGGTTATGTACCAGCGAATCCTCTCGCTGGCGCCAGCTTCAGGCTCCTATGACAGGGCGGGCAGAATGCTGAAAGTGGCACGGCAGTTTTCCTTTCTGGAAGCACCCATGCGCAGGCTGGGATCTCCTGACTACATCTCTAACTATTTCCCTCTTGCAGACATGCCGTTTCGCATGGAAGACGCTGTCGTCACCAGTCACGAACTGAGAGTGCCGATGGTGCCGTATGAACGCACCAAGTTCGCCTGGTCTAACTATAACGGAGAGGTACAACTGTTTCTTCACACCGACCCCAAGCTCGTTGATGCTGATCTGATGGCTGCCTCCTATGCACATGCGGAAGAAGAGGTGCTGTCGTTTCTGGGGGGCAGTCAGTGAATACGGACTATCGGCTGTTTGCCTGGGACTTCAGTTATTTCTCGGCAAAGATACGTGCCTATTGCCGTTTCAAGGCGTTTCACGAGACGCTGACTTATGAAGAAGTGCTGGCCACTCAAGCCATCATGCAAGGCTATATCACTCCCGCAACGGGATCGAATGTGGTCCCCCAGGTGGAAGCCGCAGATGGAACATGGCTGCAGGATTCGAGCGAAATCATCGACATACTGGAAGCACGACATCCGCAGGCGCCGGTGGTTCCTGAAGGCGCTCAGCAACGCCTTGTCTCCTATCTGTTAGAGCTTCTGGCAGATGAGTGGATGCTGCCCTGGGCGTTCTGGGAGCGGTGGCACTATTCCCTGGCATCCGTTCAGCCGAACCACGAACCCTGGAATGCACAGCAGTGGGGACGGATCTTCGCGCCCGATCAATCCGGATTAGAAAGGCGCAAGGCGGCCCGCTTCGTTTTCCGTGAAATCATGAAAATTGATGATCCGCAAAATGCGGAATCAGGCCCTTTTGCAGGTTTACCTCAGCTGGGTGTTACAGAAAAAACGGTACCAGCCTGGACAAGCAGTATGCACCACATGCTGTCGATTCTGGAAACGCACTTCAACCAGCATGACTATGTGCTGGGCGGACGTCCGACACTTGCAGACTTTGCACTCCTGGGTCCCCTCTATCCACACCTCTATAACGATCCGGTGCCCGGTTTCATGATGCGTACGCAGTACCCTCTGGTGTGCGAATGGATTGCTCGCGCCAACGGATCTACTGAGGCTGGCGCGAGGAGTTACAGGCAATCTGGCTACCACCTCGAGCAGGGATCACTGGTGCGCATTTGTGGCGCCAGCGACGGAGGTGACATGCTTCCCGATGATACGGTGCCGGAAACACTGCTCCCGCTGATTGGTGTCTTTTTCGACGAAATGTGGCCGGTACTGAAAAGCAGCATTGACGTGCTGACCAACTACATCGCCAGCGGCAAACATCCTGCCGATAACCCTTTGCCCTCCAAGAGCTTTTATTCGCCGGCCGAGTTCAGGGCGCTACAGTCCAATGGTGGTGCACTTACCCATGAATTTAAGCTCGGTGGTGTAAGCGAAACCCGCATGGTCTCACCCTATCAGGTATGGATGCTGGGTCGCATGAGTGATGCGATGGCTGAGCATTTCAATGATCCGCATCAAAGTGCACGGCTTGAGGATTTGCTTGCTGCTTTCCGGGACGGGGTGGAAATAACCACACTGCCCCAACTGCTGCGTGGATGCCGCCTGCAAAAGAAATTTGAACAGATATTTATTGCACAAAGTAACAACTAACAGTTCGTCAGAGGAGGAACCCGTGACAGATATAGAAACACGAGGCACGAAGGTAGACAGCGGCTGGCAAGACCATGACGGTTTTGTCGGCCCCATGCAGCCCGGAACCGGACCCCGAAGCGATCCGAAAGGCGAATTTCCAACCGGTCCAGAGGTTGGGCAGCAGATGCCCGATGTTCAGTGCGCTACGGCAGATGATACCCACTTTGATCTGCATGCAGATCGAGCAGGCAGGCCAGCGGTCTTTATCTTTTACCGTTCAGCGGTGTGGTGACCACCTTGTCGTTCGCAACTGGTCGAGTTGCAAAGGCAGATGAAAGATTTTGATGCGGCGAATATTGCCGTATACGCGCTCAGTTATGACGAGGCAGATGCACTGCGAGATTTTCGTGATGCCCACGATGTCACGTATACGCTGCTTTCCGATCCGGAGTCTGATGTCATCAGATCATTCGGTATTCTGAACACGCTGATCAATGAGAATGACCACCCCTGGTACGGCATTCCTTATCCCGGCACCTATGTCGTCAATGCCGACGGCAGAATTATACAAAAGTTTTTTGAGAACAACCTGGCTGTCAGAGCCGGTCCGGAACAGTTGCTGCGCGCGGCACTCGGCCAGTCACCGGAGGCCACGAATGACGGCGTCCCCGAGACAGTCGAAGAGGTTGAGGTCAGCGTTCACCTTGACGGGGCCAGCCTGACGCCCACTGTACAGAAAGACCTGGTGGCACAATTTCGGGTCCCAGCCGGGCAGCACGTTTACGCGAACCCCGCGCCGGTCGGTTCGATTGCGGTTGATTTAATCCTGGACGACCACGAGGGCCTGGTACACAGAGCCATCATTCGTCCACCGGCAGAACCGCACAGCCTCGCCGGCACAGATGAGACCTTTGATGTTTATCACGATGTTTTTCAGCTGAGATTACCCCTGACAGTCAACAATGCCAGCCAGCCTGAAATTACAATCGCCGGGGAACTGATCTGGCAGTCCTGCGACGATCAGGTCTGCGGCATTCCCGTTCGCAAGCGGTTTGCGATCACGCTGCCAGTGACGGCGTCTCCACCAGTTGCACTGGGCAGCAGGAAAGGCGCCGCCCTGGAACCCAATGCCATGGCCCATTTTGCAAAAATGACAGAACGACGCAGGCAGGATTAACACATGAATCGGCAATGGTCGCGGGGTTTGCTCAGATGAAAGTTGCCAGTGCAGCCGGCAATGCCAAAACCGCTCTGCTGCTGCTGTTCGGCGCTTATGCCTTGTCCATCACCGACAGGATGATCCTCTCGGTGTTGTTCGAACCCATCCGTCTGGAGTTCGGCGCAACCGATACGCAGATGGGCCTGCTGGGCGGCCTGTCGTTTGCTCTATTCTACGCAACCCTCGGCCTGCCGATCGCGCGGCTTGCAGACCGCTACAACCGTCGGCTCATCATCGTCACCTCCCTCGGCCTGTTCTCGGCGATGACTGCCATGAGCGGACTTGCTCTGAGTTTCCTGATGCTGTTTCTGTTTCGCATCGGCGTCGGTATTGGTGAGGCAGGTGTCAACCCGGCGAGCCAGTCAATCATCGCCGACCTGTACCCGAAAGAACGGCGGGCGACCGCCATGTCGATCCTGGCAGTTGGCGCACCGGTTGGCATGATTGGCGGCTTTCTCATCGGTGGACTGGTCAGTCAGATGTTTGGCTGGCGGGCCGCCATGTTTGCGGTGGGTGTTCCGGGTGTGGTGCTTGCCATCCTCATGTTCTACTTTCTCCGGGAACCTGTGCGCGGGGCAACAGACATATCGCCGCACACACAAGAGGCAGATGCGCCCTCCGGGATCTTACCGGCCGCCGGGTACATGTTCCGTTCGCCGGCGCTGCGCCAGCTGCTTATTGCATCCACGCTCACCGGCATGGCGTCTTATGGCGCGTCCACCTGGTTGCCCACATTCTTCGTCCGCGTGCACGATCTTTCCCAGGGCCAGGTGGGCCTGTTGATGGCGTTTCTTTTTGGCGGGCTGGGCGCAGTGGGTACTTTTGTGGGTGGTAGGCTGTTCGACAGACTGTCTGCACCCGGGTTTGATCGCGGCCTTAAGATGATTGCCGTTGTGCAGGTGGCAACGGTGCCTTTCTCCGTCGCCGCCTACCTGGCAGGTTCTTTCACAGGCGCGATTTTCCTTTTCATGCTGCCTGCATTTGCGGCTAACTTTTTCCTGGGTCCTACGCTTGCTCTGATCCAGACGTTGTCACCCGTGCCCATGCGCGCCGTGGCTGCGGCCATCAAGATGTTCTGCCTCAATCTGGTTGGCATGAGTCTTGGCCCCTTTCTGGTCGGGGCAACCAGCGACTGGCTTGCACCTGTATATGATGAGCGATCCCTTGCCATAGCACTGGCCGTACTGACCTGTATGAGCCTCTGGTCCGCCGCTCACTTCTGGCTGTGCGGCCGGGCAATACGGGTCACTGAAGTAAATGGAGACCAAACCTATGGTTAGATTGACCGATTTACCTGACTACGAACGTGAGCACCTGCTCTCAAAAAACCAGCCACCACTGGGGCCACCCGCCTGGACACCGCTGAGCAAGCCAATATCTGAGCTGCGCATTGCGCTGATCACCACCGCAGGGCTGCATTTTCGAGACGACCCGAACTTCGAATTTGCCGATGCCACCTTCAGGCCGATTTCAGACGATGAAGACGCAAACAATCTCGTTATGTCGCACAGCTCTGTCAACTTTGACAAAACCGGCTTTGCCGAAGACGTCAATCTCGTCTTCCCGATAGACCGTTTCCGGGAGCTGGAAGCACAGCAGAAGATCGGATCTCTAGCGACAGTGCACTACAGTTTTATGGGTGCTGGCCTGGACCCACAAGCATATGAGAAAAGTGCCTCGCAGGTGGCCGGCCTTCTGAAACAGGATAACGTCGATGCGGTATTCCTGACCCCGGTCTGACCCAACTGCACGCGCGCGGTCAGCGCGCTCAGCTACTTTCTTGAACGCGCAGGCATCATGACCACCGGCATCAGTCTGGTGCGTGAGAATACCGAGAGCATGCAGCCACCCCGAGCGCTGTGGGTGAGTTTTCCGCTTGGCCGCCCGCTGGGCAAGCCGGGTGATGCTGCGTTTCAACATCGCGTTATCGACGCCGCCCTCAACCTGTTAAATGAGGAACACGCCCCGGTGCTGGTTGATTACCCGGAAGATGCGCCCAGCGTTGCAATCGATGCTGCACCCGCCTGCCCGGTGTCATTCGCAAAACCGGCTGCGGACACAGATACCTGGGAAGCTGCACTGTTGAACGAACTGCAGACCCTCACCCCATGGCATGATCTGGGTAGACGTCGCCGCAACGGTCGCACGCTGGTTGGTGCCTCCGAATTTTCAATGACCGATAATCTGCAGAAATTAGGGCAATTACTCGACAATAACACGCTGCCGACCACAGAACTAAAGTGGTTCAAAGCAGCCATTGAAGACGCCAAGGTGTTCTACATAGAAGCACTCACTGCACAACCTGGCGACTATGACCACAAACAGATAGAGCAGATCTACTGGCACGAGACCCGCTTGGGTGCCGCGACGATCGAGTTTGCAGAACGGTTTCTTCAACATCCTGAACTGGCCGCCTTTGCCAGAATCATCACGCCACGAAACGTTCCACAATAAATAACTCCAGCGAGGCACAACCATGAATATCAGACCCATCACTCAGGATTTTGTTGCCGACATTTCCGACATCGATTTAACGTCAATGACGGATGAGGACTTTGAAGCAATCTACCAGGCCTGGCTCACCTATGGCGTGCTGCGCATCCGTGGGCAGCAGCTCGACGAGGACGAACTGCAGGCATTCAGCGCTCGATTCGGTCCGCTGGAAGAGATTCCCATGGGTCGCCTGCCCGAATCTGAGCGTGCCAAAGTTAAAAACCGTTACGTCACCCAGTTATCAAACATCATCGAAAACGGCAAACCCATAGGTGGGCTTGGTAATGCGGAGGCCAACTGGCATTCCGATATGACCTACGTCGAGAATCCTCCGCCCGCCAGCGTGCTGCTGGGTGTCGAAATACCTGACGAGGGTGGTGATACCTATTTTGCTGACCAGAACGCAGCCCTCACCGCAATGCCGCAGGCACTCATCGAACGCCTGGCAAGCCTGTCCATCAAACATGACGCAGCGCATACAAGTATTGGCAAACTACGGCCCGGGTTCGAGCCCTTCGATGACCCTCGTGATGCTCCGGGGGCAAGTCATCCCGCCATCATCACCCACCCGGAAACCGGGGAACAGACATTGTATCTGGGGCGCCGCGAGTGGGCTTACATCGACAGCCTGCCACTTGAAGACAGTGAAGCGCTATTGGATGAAATCTGGTCATATGCTGCGCGTCCGGAACATGTGTGGCGACAGCAATGGCAGCCGTATGATCTGATCATCTGGGACAACCGCCGCGTGCTGCATCGGCGCGACGATTTTGACCCGAATTCACGTAGATTGATGAAGCGCTGTCAGGTGCTGAACAGAATCGTATAGCTCGTTGTTCAGTCCACCTGATACCTTTCTTTCATCAGTGCAACAGACTGAGCAACAATGTCCTCAAGCACGTGCACGTCCACGTTGCTCAATCGACCCAGATACAGACACGAACGACCGGTCTTGTAAGAACCCAGTTTACTTAACAAACTATCGTACGGTTCAAAACCCGGCATAATATACACAACCATATTTGCTTTGCGCGGCGCAAAGCCGGTTAAAAAATGATCGCCTTCCCTGCCACTGTCGTAAACATAGTGGTAACAACCAAAACCGATAATGCTCGGCCCCCACAAGACCGCTGGTTCCCCCGTAATCCTCGTCATCATGTTGAGTAATAGATAGGCATCTTCACGTCGACCAGCGTGAGGCACTGAATCAAGATAAGCCTTAACATCTTTCGAAGTTGGCTGGGTTTTGTTGTTTGCAGTTGTCGTACGCGGCATAGTGACCTCTCCTGGCATGAGTCTTTAGCTATGATCCAAATCTATCACGTCACCAATACCCGCGGCATAAGACCCATTTGGCTTTGTGAAGAACTGGGCATCGAGTATTCGATAACTAAAATCGATTTCTCCCAGGCATTCAGACGCCAACCCGAATGGCGTGCGATGAACCCCGTAGGCAAAGTGCCGGTTCTGGAAGATGGTGACCTGCGTATGTTCGAATCCGGCGCCATGGTGGAATACATTCTGGCCCGCTACGGCGAGTGCCGATTACAGCCGGAACCATCCAGCGAGACTTTCGCACACTACCTGCAATGGACTTGGTTTGGTGAGGCTACACTGTCACGTCCCCTTGGAGAGATAGTTAACCATCGCAGAGAATTTCCCGGCGACCTGGAGATCCCCGAGGTGGTTGCGGAAATGGGCAACCGGGCCGGTGAGTGTCTGCTAGCGATTGGGGACGCTGTCGAGAACAAACAGTTTATTTGTGGTGATGAATTCACTGCTGCAGACATCATGCTGGGATACGGCTTACATCTGGCAGAGATGTTAGTGCCTGAAAAAATTCCTGAGAAACTGCAGCCCTACTGGACAAGTCTCAAACATCGTCCGGGTTTTCAGATAGCCAGAAATGCCTGAGTACAGTTCTTGACATTAAGCGCGCGCCGGTCAACATCGGCACTCAATTTAGGAGAGACGGAACCATGGCGACAATTACTCTGCTGTACGCAGGCATCTTAGGCATCATTTCGATTGCACTGGCTTTTGCGGTTGGATCGCAACGCGGAAAAACTAAAATTTCCATAGGCACCGGCGAAAGTGATGCACTGTTTATTGCGACGCGCAGGCATGGCAATTTTGTCGAGTATGTACCTTTGGGATTGATTTTAATGGGCCTGCTGGAACTTAACGGCGTATATCCCATTGCAATCCACGGCTTTGGCGCGGTGCTTGTGATTTCCCGCATCTGCCACCCGTTAGGGCTGAAAGTTGGCGCTACATCACATCCACTTCGCGCCATTGGCACCCTGGGTACCGTTGTTGTTACGGTGGTCATGTCAGTGTGGGCAATCGTCGCCTATTTTTAGGTCAGCCTCGGATAGCCAACAACCGCAGACTTATCTTTAGATGATCAAGGGAATCAACTACTTCATGCAGGGCGCGCGCATCACCATGCGTAAAGACGTGCGCCCCTTTGTTTTCCTGCCTGCCGCCGTAAGCTTAGGTGTAATCGTTGGCGGGCTGACCCTGGGCTTCAGCTACATCAGCGATTTATCTGACTATCTGATTGCCAGCCTGCCCAACTGGTTAAGTTTTCTGCAGTGGATATTAGAACCACTGCTCTATCTGCTGGGTGTACTGGTGGGCGCATGGTCCTTTGGCTTTCTTGCCGCCATCATCGGTTCTCCGTTTCTCGGCGATCTCGCCCTGAAGGTAGACAACATGCCGGACCCGCAGATTGCCTGGTACAAACAGATTGCGCCAGCGCTGGGCCGGGAGTTGAGAAAACTCCGCTATCACATTCCACGTCTCTTACTGCTGTTGCTGCTCAGCGTTATCCCGGTTGTTAACGCTCTGACGCCTTTTTTATGGGTGGCTTTTGGTGCCTGGCTGATGGCAGTGCAGTTCTGCGACTACACTAACGAGAACCGGCAAAAACCTTTTGAAGATACCCTGACCACTTTGCAGGGCAACAAAAGCAAAGCGCTGGGCTTTGGCGCCTGCGTGACTGTGGCCATGGCTGTGCCGCTGGCTAATTTTCTGGTAGCACCCATCGCCGTTGCTGGTGGCACTCTGTTGATGAAATCCATACGGGAGAACCCAAATGCTTAAACTATTTGTGCAAACCATTTTGTTGAGCGCAACTTTTCTTGCTGCATTACCGAACCTTGCCAATGAATTCTGGGCACACGGTTTTGTTAAGCGGGTCGACGTCTCCTACGGTGAAGACCCACAACAGACAATGGATGTATTCCTGCACGGCAGTCGCACTGGCGAGCCTAATTATTTTGCGATAGATCCAAAGTCACGCCCAACGCTGGTGTGGATTCATGGCGGCGGCTGGGTCGCTGGGGACAAAGCCAGTGAGACCTCACAGCTGATACCCTACCTGCAGAAAGGTTGGAATGTTTACAACCTTAACTATCGTCAGGGTCAAGGAACTGCGCCTCAGGCCGTTGACGATGTGATGTGTGCGTACAAGACTATAGTCACTCAACTCGAACAGGCAGGTAATACAGATGCGCCAATAGTTGTTTCCGGCGCAAGCGCCGGTGGGCATCTGGCATTGGTTGTGGGTTTACTCAACAGCACGGGCAAACACCCTTGTCAGAGCAAACGCAAACCTGCCGCGGTAGTAAACTGGTTCGGCATAACCGATATCGAAATGGTTGACGAGTACCTCAACCAGAACCGCCCTGAGCAAAACTATGCGCGTAGCTGGGCAGGCTCAGTTGCCAAAATAGCCGAGGTTTCGGCCGCTTATTCGCCTATGTACCTGATATCTGACAATGCCCCGCCTGTCATTACCATTCATGGCGACAAAGATACTGTGGTACCTTTCGATCAGGCCGAGTCTTTGCACGCCAGCCTGACTACGCCTAATTCGCTGCAGACATTAACTGGCGGCAATCACAGCGGCTTCACTGACAAGCAATATAAAGATGCTTACGTCGCAATTTTCGAATTCCTGGATATCCACGCGCGCTTCTGAGAGAAACACATGCTTAGATTAATTCTGCTAACAGCAACCATCGCAATTTCGAGCTTCAGCCATGCGCTGCAGGTTGATAATTTTGTGCTGCTCGATCAGCGAGGTGATGCCCACGAACTGTTCTATCATCGCAGCTCACCCGCAGTGGTCATTATGACCTATGCGCAAAGTTGCAAAGCGGTGACAGATGCCATCCCGGCTTTCCAGGCGCTGAAGCAAAAATATGATGGCCAGGCCACATTCTGGCTGCTGAACAGCGACACCAGCATGGACCGCAAACAACTTGCACAACAGGCTGAGGCTGCGGGTATTGATCTGCCCATTCTGCAGGACGACACCCTACTCATCAGCGAATCACTAAAAGCCCAACAAGCAGGTGAAGTTTTTGTTCTCGACCCGCGCACCTGGCAGATAACTTATCGTGGCCCCATAACTTCTGCAGGAGAAACATCGGAAACAATTGCAGCATTGATTGCAGGTCAATCACCGGCCGGCAAAAACAGATCGGTTGAAGGATGCGAGATCTCCTATCCCCGACAAACACAAACTCAACAAATCAGTTACGCCGATACTATCGCCCCATTACTGCAACAGAAATGTGTGGTCTGCCATACCGAGGGCGGTTTAGGCCCCTGGCCGATGAACAGCTACACGATGATTCAGGGGTTTGCACCGATGATTCGCGAAGTTGTGCGCACCAAACGGATGCCGCCCTGGCACGCGGACCCGCACATTGGGCAGTGGAAAAACGATATTTCTCTGACCACCGAAGAAACTCAGCAGCTGATCCATTGGATTGAAGCGGGCGCACCCAGAGGCAGCGGTAGTGACCCGCTGGCGACTGACACCATTGATCAGGTGGAATGGCCTTTAGGAGAGCCCGACCTCATCCTCGACATCCCCGCCTATACCGTGCCCGTCAGCGGCGAGGTCGACTACCAGTTTCCTACGGTGAAAAATCCCCTGGATACCGGCGTGTGGGTAAAAGCCGCCACAGTGGTCCCCGGCGAACGCGAAGTGGTACATCACATTCTTGCAGGCACCCAGGACGGCGACACCACAGACCTGCGGCGCACCAGCGGGGTTTTCGACAACTATCTGATTGGTTACGCACCTGGCAACGAGTCACATGAATTCCCTGAAGGTACCGGCGTTTACATACCACCAGGCGGCGAATTTCTGTTTCAGATGCATTACACCCCGATCGGCAGGGAGGTCGTCGATAAATCAAGAATTGGTTTGTATCTGCACCGAGAGGTGCCGGAAAACTATTTCCGTCAGGATGTTGTGGTTAACCCCATGATCAAAATACCGCCTAACACAGCACGCCACACAGAGGTCGCTTACTACGCTTTTGATAAACCGGCGACACTGCACAACCTGGTACCCCATGCACACTATCGTGGGGTGGCGTCACGATTTGAATTGTGGAAACCCGATGGCGAAAAAGAAATTATCCTCAATGTCCCCAACTATGATTTCAACTGGCAGCGGACTTATGAGTTTGTAGTACCAAAACACATCGAAGCCGGCACACGTTTAGTGCACACCACCTGGTATGACAACTCCGCAGCTAATCCAGCCAACCCCGATGCCAGTCGCGAAGTCCCATGGGGCCTGCAATCCTGGGATGAAATGTTGTACGGCGCGTTCAGTTATACATGGGTAGATGAAAGCACCGAAGCGCCTATACACGACAAAATGATGGCGCGCACCAACCAGTATGTTGGTTTTCTGGATCAGAACATTGACGGAAAAGTCAGCTGGCGCGAGTTGCCAAGACAGATAAAGAAGCAGCTCGTTCAAGGCTTCAGCACCGTCGACACTAACGGAGACGGCGGCCTGGACTTGCAGGAAATGCACAAGCTGACCGAACGACGCGCTGAGCAGCGTCGCGAGGAAGCTGAAGCAGAGGCCGCCAACCAGGCAGGTGCTCGCTGAGCAGGGCAAATTATGCGCCTGCCACCAACATCTGGCTGAACCTGACCACCATTCGCGGTAAGATATTCCTAATCAGGAGATGACCATCATGCAACGCGAATTCGACATTATTGTTTGGGGTGCCAGCGGCTTTACCGGCAAGCTGGTCACCGAGTACATGGAAAAAAACTACGGCAACGGCAACCTGAAATGGGCCATTGCCGGACGTAACCGAGAGAAACTGCAAAGCAGTGTCAAAAACAGCGACATCGAAATCTTTGTTGCAGACTCACACGACCAGAACGCAATGAACGAACTGGCCTCTAAAGCCCGCGTTATTCTCACTACCGTAGGTCCTTATGCACGTTATGGCTCCGAGCTGGTGGCTGCGTGTGCCGCCAACGGCACCCACTACTGCGACCTCACCGGTGAAGTGCACTGGATGCGGAAAATGATCGACACCCACAGTGCTGCGGCTGAAGAAAGCGGCGCAAGAATCGTACATACCTGTGGCTTCGACAGCATTCCTTCTGACATCGGCGTGTATTTCATGCAGCAGCAGATGCAGCAGGCCCACGGCGTTGCCGCCCAGCGCATCAAGTACCGTACCAAAGCCTTCAAAGGGGGGTTCAGCGGCGGCACCGTCGACAGCATGATGGCGATGATGGAAGCCGCCCAGAGTGATCCCAACATCATGAAAGTGATCTCCGATCCGTACGCGTTGAATACCAGCTACCGTGGTTTAGATGGTATGGACACTAACCTTGCCTACTACGACGCTGACTTTAACTCCTGGGTGGGGCCATTTGTTATGGCTGCCATCAACACACGGGTTGTACGGCGCTCGAACGAATTGTTAGGCCTGGCTTACGGCCATGAATTCCGCTACGACGAAGGCACCCTGATGAAAGACGGCGTGCCTGGTATGTTTGGCGCCACATTGATGTCGATGGGCACAATAACCGTGAATGGTCTCTCCGCTTTCGCCCCGACCCGCAAACTGCTGCAGACTGTATTACCTAAACCTGGCGAAGGCCCTTCCCAGGAAACCATGGATAAAGGCTTCTTCGAAATAGAGCTGGTTGCGAAACACCCCGTTGATAACAGCAAAAACCTGCGTGGACGCGTCTATGGCGATCGTGACCCAGGCTACGGATCAACTGCAAAAATGTTATCAGAGTGCGCGGTCAGCCTGGCTCAGGACGAACTCCCTGTGGGTGGCGGTTTCTGGACCCCAGCCAGCGCCATGGGTGATGCGTTACTGAAACGTTTGCCAGGCAATGCCGGCGTCACCTTCGAGTTAATCGACTAAACAGCCGGCGTTGGCATTTGCGCCTGGCCGGCAAGCCGGCGCAAATACAACGCGCCGCCAATCATAGCGGCCGAGACGATGGACAAACTCCACAGCGATGCGCTGAAACCACCGGTGACGTCATAGATCACACCCATACCAAAGGGGCCAAGCATGCCCCCTACCTCTGCCGCAGAGAAGAACATGCCGCTGGCGACACCCACTCGCTGTTCGCCGATGCCAGGCAGTTCTACCAGCGTTAAAATTAACACAGTCATCAAGCTGGAACGGGCAACACCCTGCAGGATCAAGCCGGTGGTCAGGGTGACGTTATCCAGCGCCTGCAACAGTACGCTGGCCAGCAGCGCAGCCACACAGAGAAAGATGAGAATGTGGAAACGCCGGGCTGGAGTGGCCAGACGAGGAATCAGTAACGAACCGAGGATACCAACCAGTGTTGGCAATGCTGCCCAGTAGCCCGCCTGAACTGCGCTTTTGCCCCCTTGGCGTAACAGTTCCGGCAACCAGTTATTCAACCCATGGTTGTACAGAAACACACCCACACTCATCAATAACAACACCCGCACGGCTGGCGCCTTGATCAGCTCCGCCATTATCTGGAGTTGCGGGGTAGATTCTGTACGATTGGCTGCAGAGCGTTTGTCTACCTGCAGAAACGATGCAAGCAGCCACCAGATCACACCTGCTACAAGTGCCACCACACCCCACATGGCCATCACATAGCGCCAGTTCATATCAAACAGCGGCAGAAAAAAGGCGTTAGTCATGGTCAGGCAAACCACACCGCCGATAGCCGGGCCAGTCATGTAGATACCCATGGCCAGACCTCTCTGACTACCGGTGAAATACTCCGCCACCACCTTGGGTGCGCCAGAGGATACAATCGGACCACCAATACCAAACAGCATGACCGCTATCAGAAAAGACCAGTAATCAGTAGCAAACGCACGACCGAGGGCTGAAGCTCCGATTAGAGCGGCCGCCATCAACAGGGCGTACCGTCCTCCGATGCGATCCAGCAATATGCCACAAGGTATGGCCGCAAATATGTACACCAGCTGCCAGGCACCCATGACACTGCCCATAGCTGAGTGAGACATACTCAGCTCATTGAGAATATCCTGAACCATGGGCGCAACGCTGGCGACAACAAGACCAAAGCTGGCGTAGAGCAGCCACAAGCCGCCAAGTATCCACCACTTGCCGCTATTGTGGCCTGCTATTTCAGGTTGACCCATGACTTTGTTTTCACTTAGCTTTAAAGCACTTTCTCATGCAAGGAATCGCCATGGGCGTTCAAACTTTACCGGCAGATGCCAGCCAGGAAGATATTCTCGCAGTTTTGGAAGCAGATGGCGCCGCCATTGTGGCGAACCTTATCGAGGCTGACCAGGTTAAAAAGATGGTTGACCAGGTCACCCCCTTTATCCAGCAGACCCCCATGGGGCGTGACGATTTCAGTGGACGACACACCCAGCGAACCGGCGCCCTGGTTGCACGGACACCTGCGTGCCACGACCTGATTCTGCATCCCAGCATCCTGCCAACCGCAGAGACCTTTCTGGGACCATTCACCGACAAGATAATTCTGCACCTGACACAAACAATTCATATCAATCCGGGCAATCCTGCACAGCCTTTACACCGCGACCGCCTCGCCTGGGGCACCCACATTCCGCAAACTATTGAACCGCAGTTCAATACCATCTGGGCACTTACAGATTTCACAAAGGAAAACGGGGCAACACGATGTGTGCCTGGCAGCCATAAGTGGGATTGGCAGCAACGTGCTGAACCCGATCAGATCGTGCAGGCGGAAATGCCTGCCGGTTCGGTTTTTATCTACACCGGCAGTGTTCTGCACAGCGGCGGAGAAAACCGTTCCAACGCGGCGCGTATGGGTCTTAATCTTACCTATACCCTGGGCTGGTTACGTCAGGAAGAGAATCAGTATCTGTCCTGCCCACCGCATATCGCCAGAACCCTGGCGCCGGAACTACAGGAGTTATTGGGCTACACCCAGGGGAACTATGCTTTGGGGTATTACAGCGACCCGGAAGCACAACATAGCGCATCAGATATTCTGCCACCGGAGATGGCGCTGGGGAGGATGCCAACCAAAGGCTCAAGCCTGGCGTCTACAACCGATGACGCCATCGACTTTGCATCGATCGAACAGATTTAGAACAGGGACTTTTCTTCAGGCGAAAAGAAGCCCAGTTCAAAAGTTGGTTGGGGTCAACTTTTTTGAACTGGGCTTAGAAAAATGTTTAAGCCGTACTGTTAACCTGCGCTGGCACCAGCCACCTGCATGGTGATATCACCTGTGTGATAGCTGGTAAGACGGGGGTGATCCACCTTACTGACCAGATCCTCAACAACGTCACTCACACATGCCGCCACTTCATTGTGATTGCGTATTTGTGAATACGTTGGGCAATATTGCTTGGCGACCTTAACAATGCGTTCATGCACTTGTTTGACACCAGCTGCATTTGTCAGCTCAGTTGAGGAATAAGCCATGGCATAATCGTCTGCGATAGCGTAGGTAGATGCGCCGAATGCGGCAGTGATCAAAAGGGCAGTAGCTAATTTTTTCACGTTCAAATACTCCAAATTACTCTAAAAAAGGTGTTTTCAACTGAAGTTGATCGCACCCGACTCGCTCTGTTAGCCCGCAACCCATTTATTTTTGTTGCCTGGCTGACTACTTAGTCGCACTACCGTTGATATTAGTTTTATTTAATTTCATTCAACGGTTGGAGACTGCCCCAACGATTGCGGATATTGCATACAGCTTACTCAGATTTCTGGTCTGACCAGAGCGTCTTTGTCTTGGTCTGACCAAAGCGTTTGTGGATGCTGTCTGTTCGTCCGCGCTTACTTATAAAGATGCGCAGGAACAGGAAAGGGTTGCAGGAGGAGAGAAAAAAAAAGAAAAAAATTACCAACCTTTCAGCGCCAGGCCTGAAAGGTTGGTAGCTTAGAAGGCTAAGGCCGCAAGAATGCGACGTTAGATGACTTCTTCAGGCTCAACAATCTGGTAGGTGAAATCGTAGTTAGACAAAGGCAGTTGCCGCACACGGGTGCCGGTAGCCTGGAAAACAGCACCAGCCAGAGCCGGCGCAATGCCGGGTGTGCCAGGCTCACCTGCACCACCCCAGGGCGCATTGCTGTTAATAACGTGTGTCTCAATTTCTGGCGCTTCATTCATCCGCACCGACTTGTAGTCGTGGAAGTTGCCCTGCACCACAGCACCATCTTTAATATCGATGTTGCCGTACAGCGCCGCTGTCAGGCCATAGATGATGCCAGACTCCATCTGCGCAGCCACACCGTCTGGTGAAACCGCAAAACCGCAGTCAACAGCACACACAACGCGCTCCACCGAGACCACACCCGCATCCACGCTGACATCAACCACTTGAGCCACAAGCGAGCCAAATGATTCCTGCAGGGAGATACCACGGCCTTTGCCGGCGGGCACTGACTCACCCCAGCCTGCCTTTTGCGCTGCAAGATCCAGCACCGCAAGATGCCGCGGTTTACCAGCAAGCAATTCACGACGCAGCAGATAGGGATCTTTACCCGCTGCGTGTGCAACCTCATCAAAAAAACCTTCGGTGAAAAAGCCGTGTTGCGAATGGTCGACACTACGCCAGGGACCAAAGGGCACATGGGTGGGACTGTCGGTATAGGCAATGTGCTGCGCAGCTACCGCATAAGGAATCACCGGCGCTTCTGCAGGTTCATGCTTTTCATGGAACAGATTATCCCAGGCCAGCACGTCGCCAGCCGCGCTGAGGGCTGCACGAAATTGTGAGGCCACAGCTGGTCGGTAGATATCATGACGCACATCTTCTTCCCGAGACCAGATGAGCTTCACAGGCACCCCAGTAGTCTGGGCCAGCCGCGCCGCCTGCACCGCCACATCACCGGTTGCCCGACGACCAAAACCGCCACCCATCATATGCTGATGGATTGTGACGTTGGCGGAATCAACACCCAGGGCGTTTGCGACCTCATGACGGAAACCCAGGGGATTCTGCGAACCCACCCAGACTTCAATCTGACCATCGTTGACTTGAGCCGTCGCGTTCATGGGCTCCATGGTCGTGTGCGCGAGAAACGGCACCTTATAAGTGGCTTCCACCACTTTATCCGCCTGGGCAAAAGCCGCAGCCGTATCACCCACCACCACATCTTCACCCGCACTGCCGTTTTCACGAGCGTTCTGCAGGTCTTTTTCAAACTGGGCAAACAACGTTTCGCTGGACACATTTTCGTGGCCGGTTTTGGACCACTCAACCTGCACCGCATTCAGCGCCTGTTTCGCCTGCCAGTACCCATCTGCAACCACAGCCACAGCATTGTCGAGGCTGATCACATCAACCACGCCCGGCATCTGCTTAGCACGGCTACCGTCAAAGCTCGCCACCTGAGCGCCAAAAACCGGCGCACCAATAATTGCCGCGTGCTTCATGCCCGGCAGGATGGCATCAATGCCAAACTGAGCCGTGCCATCCACTTTGGCTGGAATATCCAGACGCGCCACACTCTGGCCCATGATCTTGAAATCTTTTGGATTTTTCAGCGTTGGCGTGTGGGATGGCGTCATCGCTGCGGCAGCTTCTGCAAATTGAGCAAACTCCGCGCGCTGCCCGCTGGCAGCATGCACAATGTAGGAATTCTCTACCGTGAGCTCCGAAGCCGATACCTGCCACTCGTTCGCCGCTGCTTTGATCAGCATCTCACGCGCCGCTGCACCCGCAACCCGCATGCCGTAAACACCGGTTGCGCGAATACTGGCACTGCCACCTGTAATCTGAATATGCATGGCTTTCACTGCCTGCAGAAACAGTCCATCTACCGTGGGCACCAGCACTTCTGGGAGTTCAGCGTCACCCATCAGAAAACCTTTGCCCACCGCCCAGTTGGCATATTCATCTTCCGCTGGCGCTTCCATAAAGCTGACCTGCTGCCAGTCGGCGTCCAGTTCATCTGCCAGCATCTGCGTCAGCGCAGTTTGTGCACCCTGACCCATTTCGCTGTGCGGCACGATGGCGGTGACATGATTGTCGTTGCCGATTTTCACCCAGGCACTGACCAGGGTTTCATCTTCACCTTCAACATATTGCGCAAGTTTCGGTGTGCGGTGCCCCGGGCGCAGCGCCACACCAACAATCAGTCCACCACCGGCAACAACACCGGAAGTAATCAACGCACGACGTGTCCACTTACCCATTCTGCACCGCCTTTGGATCAAAGGTTTGTACCACGGCTTGACCGCTGGCCACTTTGATCGCGTTGCGGATGCGCTTGTACATACCGCAGCGACACAGGTTGCCGGACATGGCCTGATTGATGGCTTCGTCATCGGGTTGTGGGTTAGTGGCCAGCAGCGCTGTGGCAGACATGATCTGTCCTGACTGGCAGTAGCCACATTGCGGCACTTGCTCAGCGATCCATGCCTGCTGCACCGGGTGCAGTTCTTCCCCGTCACTGATGCCTTCGATGGTGGTGATCTCAGCACCCGCTGCTGCAGACACTGGTGTGACACAGGAACGAATGGCTGTGCCATTCAGGTGAACGGTGCACGCACCACATTGAGCGATACCACAGCCGAACTTGGTACCGGTGAGTTGCAGGTTTTCTCTGATTGCCCACAGCAGGGGCATTTGCGGGTCGACATCCAGCTGATGTTCCTGCCCATTGACGCGTATCGTGACCATATTTCAGCCGCCTTGGTTAATTTGCTGGCTGGATATTATCAGCATCGTTTGGAGTTTTCAGAGCACTTTCCTGCAAGCCTTGATCGACCGAGCGCCCAAGCGTGGTCTTGAGATAGCCATTTTCTAAGCTCAGCTGAACGTTGTGCCGAGTCGTGAATCAACCGCAACTGATACAAGAAGCTCAGGCGACCTGAGTTGCTAGAATAAACTGCTCAATAATGGCAAATGTTTCGGCAGGTTTGTCGCGCCAGGGGCCGTGCCCGGCATCTGGTACCACTTTAAGCTGTACAACATCTGGCGCCAGGCGATCAACAATGTCTAAAGAATCCTGCAACGGCGTGACCGGATCCTGGTCGCCTGTCAGTACTAGCGTAGGGGCAGTGATTTTATCGAGATCGTCTCGCAGGTCCATGGTATGCCAGGTACCCTCCAGTGAGTGAAAAGCCATGGCCAGTTTCGGGCGGAAGATGACAGAGTCTCGGGGTGGCTGAGGTGTGGTGTTGTATACCGACATACACTTCTCGCCAAACGCCTGGGAACTTGCCGCGTCAACGCGCACCGTTAGAAATTCTCTCGCCGCAGCTTCAGCTTCTTCTCCACCAAGACGCCGGAACTCTGCAATTGAACGTTCGACATCGAGCTTTGCCTGGGTGCTGGCCAGAATCAGTCCACCGGCATGATCAGGATAACGGATACCGTAGGTCATCGCGATAAATCCACCCCCAGATACACCGAGCACTATGGGCTTGTGTATGTCCAGCAAACGGCAGAACTCAACCAGATCGTCAGACCAGCGCTCCAGGGTGAAAATATCGTCCGGTGGATCATCGGATCGCCCAGCGCCCGAGATGTCCAGATAGACAATATGGCCTAAATCCCGCAAAGCTGAGAAGGCGGGTTTGAAGACGGAGTGATCTGAATTGCCCGGGGCACCGTGTAACAGAATGAGGGTTGGGAGACGTCTGAGCTTGTTGTCTTCCAGAACATATTCTGGTCCTTCGACGTCAAAAAAGAGTCGCTTGTCCCCGACCTGCATTTTCATACATTCGCTCGCGTGTGGTGGCTATGTTCAACAGGTATGTTACCCGCAACGGGCTGGCGGATGTCTAGTTAGTTTCAGCCAAGGGTGTTGTGGATGACACCTGTCAAAGGTTGTAAGGTCATACACTGATATTGGAGGTGAGCTTGGGTAAAACAGTGATTCGTGGCGGTTCGATTCTTGATCCGCACACTATGGAACTATCAGCCAACGAGGTGTTGGTCATAGAAGACGGTCTGGTTTCTGAATCCAGCGACATTGCGGGTGCCGATGTTGAACTGGATGCAGACGGACAGTTTCTGATGCCCGGCTTTATAGATGCACATGTGCACTTCCGTTTAGCGACGCTGAATTTTGCAAAACTGTCTCAGTGGACGGAAGTTCAGTTCGGCATTGCGATGGCGAAACTGAGTCGGGAAACACTCGCCCGCGGGTTTACAACTGTTCGAGATCTCGGCGGCGATGTCATCGGGTTAAAACGAGCAATTCGAGCCGGCATGGCCCAGGGACCAGACATTGTTCAAGCCAATCTGATGATTACCCAGACCGGTGGTCATGGTGACGTTGAATCAGGGGTTTTGCCCGTTCCCGATTGCGCCTGTCAAATGCGTCATAGTGCTTTTGGCATCGTGGCGGACGGACCGGATGCGGTGCGCAAGGCGGCTCGCCATGTTTTAAGAGCGGGTGCGGACTTTCTCAAAATTCACGTGTCCGGCGGCGTTGCCACACCCATGGATCCCCTGGACTGTACCCAATACACCGCAGGCGAAATACAGGCGGCTGTCGCCGAGGCGAACAACAGAAAAACCTATGTTGCGGCGCACGCCTATACACCGGAGGCGATTCAACTGGCGGTTCGCAATGGGGTTAAATGTATTGAACATGGCAATCTCATAGATGAAGAAACCGCTGAGGTTATGGTGGAACATGATGCATGGCTGGTGCCAACCTTAGTGACCTACTTGGGTATGGCTTCAGAAGGTCGAAAGCTGGGATTCCCTGAGCGTAACCTGGTCAAGAATGAAGCGGTATTAGCATCTGGCATTGAGTCTTTAGCCATTGCGGACAAGGCTGGGGTCAAAATGGGTTGGGGTACCGACTTGATCGGCGAAATCCAGTCAATGCAACGACAGGAGTTTGCCGTTAGGTCAAAGGCACAATCTGCCAAATCAATTCTTCACGCCATGTATGTGATGAACCCGATCATTCTGCATAAGGCCGACAGCATCGGGCGGCTCAGACCGGGTATGGTGGGCGATGTGGTTTTCACCACAATAAACCCGTTGGAGAATATCGCAGGCTTAGCCAATGATGATGCGGTGACTCAAGTCGTTAAACGTGGCGTCCCAGTCTAGACAAATCTCAGACTGGCTTGCATCGGCAGCGGAAAACCGGCATGGCCATGCACAGGCTGAGTTCTTCTTTTGCCTTAGTGATTTTCCATCTCTCAAGCGGCTGGATGCAATATCTGCCCAGGAAACCCAGGGTTATACACATCTGCCTTTACTCAAAGGGCAGAGCTTACATCACCGATCAAAATAGGACGCATACAGGCAAATGAATAACCCATCGATGACGCCCCGGGAGTGGCTTCGCCTGATCATAGTCTATCTTTCCATACCCCTTATTCTATTCGTCTTCGCAGGGGATCTCCGCTGGTGGCAGGCGTGGTTTTTTTCCATCCTGTTTTTTGCGGCAAGCGTCGGTGGACGCATTTGGGCAGAACGGCGGCATCCAGGGCTGATGGCTGAGCGAACCCACTCCCTCGAAGCATCGGATGTCAAAGCATGGGATAAAATCCTTGCCCCACTTATGGCATTGAGCATTTCCTTCCCGCTGGTGATTGTGGCGGGGCTGGATCACCGTTTTGGATGGTCCTCTGTGTTCCCCATATGGTTAAACATCACGGGTATTCTGTTGATCGCAGTTGGCTACGCGTTCGGTGTGTGGGCGTTGGCGGAGAACCGCTACTTCTCCAGCATGGTGCGCATCCAAACCGATCGCGGACATGTGGTGTGTGACAGCGGCCCGTACAGAGTCGTCCGGCACCCGGGTTATGCTGGAAACCTTCTGGCAATACTGGGCATTGTGCTGGCCTTAGACTCTACGTGGACACTCATACCAGTGGGGTTCGCGCTGGTTGTCACTGTAATCAGAACCGCCTTGGAAGATCGCACTCTCCAGGACGAACTGCCTGGATATCGGGAGTACACCAGCCACGTAAGTTATCGGTTGTTCCCTGGCGTTTACTGATGCGTCCTCTGCGCTGTAACTCAGTGGGGGCTTTTTCCTGAAGCGCCGACCCGTGGGCGTGGTCGCCCATGAACCCATTGGCAACGATTGCTTGTGGCCGAAAGTACGCATAGGCAGGCACATTTTTAATGTCGGCTATCGGGAAACTTGAAGTGACTTCTAACATATCTTGTTATCAGACACTCAGACGAGTCTCCGAACCGTCTCAAATGTGCCCAGTACAGACCATGACACCAGCGCCTGTTCACAGCTGCTGGGATCTGATCTAACCTCCCTCGATTAACTAACGAGTAAATTCGATGTCGATATCACAACTTGGAGCCCTGGGGGAATTCCTTGGGTTCTTTGCAGTTCTCGCAACTCTGATTTATCTGGCTATCCAGACTCGACAGACTAGCCACATCGCTGCGGGAAACGCTGTCAGAGCTATGACCTTCGAATTCCAAGGGCTTTGGAATTCGCTCGGCATGGATGAGGACTACATGAAGCTAGTTCGGCGTGGTATGAATGATTGGGAGTCGCTGTCGCATAATGAGCAGTCACGTGTCCATACAGTCTTCATCAATATTGCCCTCCATTTGGATGGATGCCTAAATCAAGAGCACTTAGCGGAAGCGCGCAGTGTAATAACCGGTTGGGAAAATAATTTCCTCGGACTGATACTTTGTCCAGGTGGAGCAATTTGGTGGAAAACCATGAACTATATGTTTAATGAAGGTCTGCGCAGTCGAATTGAATCACGATTACAGGATGAATTGTCTTTGCCACCCCCATGGATCGACACGCTTCCGTGGTGGACGCTAGATGAACATGATTCCTAGCCTGGGTAGGGTTCACTAGTCGGCTCATGAGCGATTGTTCCCATTCGTGGGGTTGCCGTGAGTGACTCATAACTGTCCTATAGCCGACAGATGGTCATTGAGGTGTGACAGGCGAGAATGTGCCCATCGTGGCCCTTCGATGATCTGTTTGGTCATCATGGTTTGTGAGATTAACTCGCGCCACGTCCAGAATGATGTGCGTTAGAATGACTTTTTCTCGCTTGGCAGGCATGCTCATGAAAATCGCTGTTGCAATGGTTGCGGTGCTGTTTGTTGCGGGTTGCACCACTCAGAATCTGGGTGGGACCTACAATGCTTCTAAAAATGCTGGTCTAACCGACGGCGCGTCCGTTGCGATTATCTATGTCGATGCTGATGTAGCGGATGGGATTGGTTATCAGACCTGGGCCAATGGTGACGCACAGGGATTGGTCTATCCCAACACCTTTAGACGTATCGGTCCTGTGCAGGGTTTAGTAGAGATTGGATTTCGAGAACAATATGTCGGCAAGATCATTGGAGAGGATTTGCCGGAGTCATTTACCTTGCTTGGCTCTCCTCTGTCGTTCAGCGCACCGTTTATACTAGCTGTGGATGTAGGACAGAACGAAGTCCATTTCATTCGCGTACGCAAAGAATCTAGTGAAGAGTTTTTCGCCTGTGACGAAAGTGCCGACACCACTACGCTGTGCAGTGAAAAGCAGTACAAGACGGTCATTGAGGAAGTGGACGCGACAACCGCAACTGCCGCCCTTACTGAGATGCGGAAGAGTTTGTGAGGGTTCGTAAGCTTGTGGCTCTGTTCTGCGTGAGTGCGACAATGTTAGCGGGATGTGCTAGTGCGCCGAGATACGCGCCGTTGACACCGATTCCGCCGGGTAGCCAGATTCGGATCGCAATTAACGTGCTGGATGTAGAGTCGCCGGATGCTTGGGATACAGGCGAGGCGATGGGACGAGGCGCAGCAGTTGGTGCTGGCGTGGGGTTCGCAGGAGGTGCGGCTGCGGGTCTTGAATTTACGATTGCGTGCGGGCCGTTTTTCTACATATGCGCTCCGTTGGCAGTTGTTGGCGCTGCCGGAGCTGCTGCTGTGGGTGCTGTTGGCGGCAGCGCACATGGGGTGGCTATAGCGTTGCCCGCGGAGAAGGCCAATGCCTTGGAAGGGTTGATCGATGAATACCTGAGCAACAAAAATATCCTGGAGGTTATGCGCAACGACTTTGTTCAACGTCAAGATGGGCGTTGGCAACTGATCGAATCATCAAGTGGACCAATCGTTGCATTGGGTGTGGAAGCGCTCGGGCTTGATCAGTTCGCTGGTGATGAGTTAATGATCCGGATGACCTCCTATCTACGTGTTAGATATGGACCCGGCGAGCAAGAAGTAACCAAAAGAATGCTCGTTAATGCTGAATCGGAACGCCACCATGTGGACTACTGGATTGCCGAAGGTGGCGCCAATCTTGAAGCAGAGTTGAATGCGGTGCTGGCAGAGAATTCACGCCAGATAGTTGCTGTGTTGAGTCAACCGCTTCGCAGTGGACCTTCGCGCAAATCCATCTTTGGTGTACCGCAAAACCAGTGAATTGTTGAACTCCAAACCGTCTGCTAATGGCCGTTTTTTACGCATTCAACCCTTGAGTAATAACGGATTTTGAATGACCGGTGATGTGGCAGTAAGCTGACATAAACAACAACAGATTTCATATGGCAACACTCGACCCACACCCGACATTCACCGATGACAGATTCTAGGCTAGCATCTTCCAATTACATTTCGGGAGAGAAACATGGATCATCAGGCTTTCGCTCAGCTTTTGGGCAACTATGGTGAGTTCATTGGGGCAGTCGCGGTGTTGGTTACGCTGGCTTATCTTGCAGTCCAAGTTCGACAAAACACTCGGTCTATGCAGTCTCAGATTCTGCTGCAAACCACACAACTCTTTCAGGGCGTGTTTCTGGCACCTTCTCACGCAACTCCGCTACAAGCGGCAATCTGTGCCAACAGAGAGGGTAAAGAACTTGAACCTGAGGAGATGGTCGCGATTGCTGAGTACCTCCATGCCTACATGCATGCGCTGGGAACCACGGCTATACAGTTTGAACTCGGTGGTCTTCAAATATTTTCTAATCTACGCCCCGCTTATCTCGACGATATCAGGGACTTTCTATCGACACCAAATCTCGAAGATATAGTCAAAGTTTATGATGCGCGACGTGGCGGTGATGCACTCGGTCGAATGCATAGGACGCTGAAATCTATGGCTGCAGGCACCAAGTTCGAGGAAATATCCATTGCTTCCACCACCCAATGAGCGTCCGCGGCTGGCCGTTAGCTGCCGATCAAGTGAGCGTGATTCGACGGCTGCTATGTGCCCACTACGGACGGTCGGCAACGCGGAGTGGAGAGCGTTAAGTTTCAATCGACCTCGGATTCCAGCGCTCGCCAGATCGGAACTTGATCATTGTCGGATGACGATCCACTTGCTCTAGTTGTGGTTTTGCGGCGAATACCTCCGAATATCCGGGGAACTTGAATTCCGGCAGCACGACATACTGGCGGCCGCACACCTGTTCTTGGGCCAGATGTTCGAAAACGATTGCTTCTCCGGTGGTACCGAATTCTTGCTTCCAGACAGCAATATCGGACCCTCCGATTTTTCTAATACTGTTTTTCACCGTAGCGACACGATTACCAGACCCACTACCGACTTTGTAGAGCGGCGAATCGCTAATCGGTAGCTTGAATTCGATGATGTAAGCAAACGATTGTTTTTCCGCATCGAACTCCCCTCTTAGCGCACGCACGAGGTTTCGGGGGGCGCCCTGCGCTCGCCGACTGCATTTGGGACAGCCAGTGCCTGCTAAGTGAGAACCCGCTTGCTGAGTAAACTCCCCGTCTATGGGGCAGATGATGGTCACGTGTTCACGAGCACCGACGTACTTTACTTTGGAGTAGTCGTAGAGGTCGCCGTGCACCTCAATCGCCTGTTTAACAAATTCTTCCGCGCTTTTAGAGTTCTTGTCACCGGCAGAAACGTATCGGCACACAGGGCAACCGCGCCCTTGAAGGTGGCCTTGAGGGCTTTGCCTAAACGACCCATGCTCCTTGCAGACAATCGCCACAGGTGTTTCGGTGTTCTTGTATTGAGCCAGTGAGTAGTCATAACGGTCGCCATGCTTTTTGCGGGCTTTATCCACGAAGTCAGCAGTCTGCATTGCGGACATCTTTCCCCTCTCCTCATAGGAGCAAGCAGGACAGCCAGATTTCCTGTTGAGATGGAGGTCTGGCGTTTGCTGAAATGGCCCGTGCAAGGGGCAGGCTATCTCTATGGGCGTTTTGGCATCCTTGTAATCGACAAGTGAGTAGTCGTAGCGGTCCCCGTGAATCTGTTTCGCAGCCTTAGTGAACGACTCGGTAGTCTTCTTATGGTATTGCCCCGCGTTCTTGAGTCCGCAAAGTCTGCAACCCATACCTGACAGGTGGTTTGATGGCGCTTGCTCGAAGACTCCATGCTCCCTGCATATAATTCTGACTTTCTTGTGGTAGGTTTTGTACCGAACTTCTGAATAGTCGAACTTATCGCCGTGCATTTTTTTCGCACGAGCTACAAAGATTTCGCTAGTTAGTTTTGGCCTCATACAAACAGGTATCAGCAGTGTGGTCTTGCTTTCCACTCTACAGCGCCACGCCTTCTCGATACATATGCTTGTAGCCGGTGTAGTGTCTACGGGTACCTTGGCGCCGTCCGCTCCTGGCCGAAAGCACGCAAAGTCAGGCAAGATTCTAACGGCGGCTTTCGAGCAACTTAAAGTGGTTTCTAATACAGATCGTTAGCAGTCATTCAAAATCGTATCTCGGCCGTCTGAAATGTGCCCTGACCAGACATTCGGGGATCGACTGCTAATCGGATCGTTTGAGTAGGCTCTCAACATACTCGATGAATTCGAGATCGAAATTGTTCCCTGATCCCTTCACATGGACGTCTTCGCCCATCATGTCTTGCCAGTCCTTCCTAATGCCATCGACTCTCAGTACTCTGCGCAACTGTCCTGATAGTGAATTCCAATAAGCATCCTCAAGTCTTCCTTCTTTGTAATGAAGGAAGGCTTCTTCGAATACACGATAGAACCCTACGTTAATGGTGTTGAAATGAAATTTCTCCACCTCAGACAAGGTATCGAGCTGTGTCAGTCCCTTGTGGTACATCTCTGCGACTTCCGTGGACTCTTTTACTGAGTTTGATTGGTTGCGCAGTTCTGTCATGACCCCGTGGGCAACTTGAGCCTTGATCTGTACCGTGTTTTGTCTGATCTGGCGTGTGAGGTAGAGCAGAGTGGCGATTACGCCGATTGCCGCCACTACACCAGCAACGCCACCTAAGAACTCCCCCCTACTACGAAGAGCGACTGCAACGTCAGGCTAACTTCTCCAACATGATTGGGGTGCAAACAAATTCGGCCATTAGCAATCAGATCCAATCTTCTGAACAGACTGCTAGTGGCCGTCACAAGTGCCTTTACGTGATATCAGTTAATTTTTGGTAGTTGTCGTAATTTTGAAATTGTCGTAGGTCGCTCTCACACCTTGCCCGAAAATGCGATTTTCGACGGGTATGGATACGGAAAATTCGGGAGCTTCTGGATGCTGGAACGGGAATTCATCTAACAGGCTGAAGACCCCATGAGCCATAGTGAAGAATTGCATTTGATCTTTCAGCAACTCGCCATTTCCCAACGCGGGATACTTAACAAATTCTTCTCGGTTATCGAGTGGTACTCCCACACCTTCGTAACTGGCCATTACTTGACCATCAATCAGAAACTCTACCTGGTCACCGTCTGAGTCTCGGCTGTAACGGATAGCATAATTGTGTGCGCCCGGGGTGATGTCGAATTCGCCGACGATCTGGGTATATATCTCGTTGCGCCCCGCACCTGGAGAGCCCGTTACTGTTGTCGGCAATCGTTCTGTTAGGGCCAGCGCTTTGTTTCCCGATACCAACCAATCGAACAGCTGGCCTGATGCGAAATCAATCATGTGCAAAGTCGCGCAGGCTTGTTGACCTTCCAACGCGATACCTTTGTAGGGCTGCCCACTCTGCACGTATGTCCCTTCAATGATCCGTCCAGGCACCGTGCCTGGAGTTGCAGCTTCAATTTCCGCCGAAAAGGTTATGCTGCCTTCCTGGGGGATTGCCACGGGCGTGGGGGTTATGGCGAAATATTTAATATGGTCAAAAACGCTAAAGTCAGCAGAAGTTTGAAAAGGAGCCGCGTCTATGCGGAGCTTGCCACTCTCAAATGTCCTTGTGTCCTCGATGCCCATTTCGCCTAGACCGAAGGGATTAATCCACTTCGCTCGATAATCGGATAGTGTATAGCCTCCAGGAGTCTGGAAACTGTCGTATTGAATAACGTTTGTTTGCGATTGAACTGTGGCGCTTAAGGCCGTGGTCAGAATCAGTGCCACTAGTGCTTTTTGACTCATGTTGAATAGTCTCCTTATTCTAATTTTAATCTGCCAAGTAAGTTAACAAGCGACCACTATCTTCTGCAACATCTTAGTGTCTGAAATTGGCCGAAAGCAGAAGTAGGAATGGCTAAGTGAAAAGGTCTGCTTCCGACCCAGAAGAGACGCTGAGATTGCCAGACTTGTTGTCTTGTGTATGCCTTGGAAGCAGTGAACAACAAGGCCAGTCGCTCAGATCGATCTGGGTTAGTGCTTTTTGCTGAAGGCACACAGTATATACACCCCATCACCTCTGCTCTCCAATGAGCAGCCTTCAAAGCCGCATGACGTGGTAAGTTCTTCAACCTCGGCGGTTGAGCGAAATGTGTAGACAGAACTTGGAAAATCAGATGTCGTTGGATCGGCGCTAGATCTAAAAGCTAGCGCAAGCCTTCCTCCTGGACGCAGAATACGCGCGATTTCCAAAAGGTGCGGCTCGATCGGTTGCCAGAAATATATAGTGTAGACGCTCATTGCAGCGTCAAAGGATCCAGTCTCAAATGGCAAATTGTCGCTGTCGGCACACTTGACGGTCACTCTTCCTTCTGCGGTTAGCGTCTTGTTGTTTTTCACTGCGCGAGCGCACATTACTGGAGAGTGGTCGACACAACCAATGCTTCCTTCACTAATCCTATTGGCGAGCAGTTGGAGTGATAGACCGTTCCCCGTACCAACATCTAGCACCCTCTCATTAGGCATGGGATTGAGAAGAGTGATCGTATCTCGATTGATCGCTATGGTTTCTTTTTGCATAACGAAGGCAACGATTCGCCCCAGCAGACCAACTGGACCTCCACCGTGTTTTGCAATGAACTTGGGCCGCCTCATTGGCAATCCTCGTACAGGCTGCTTGAGTTACGCTCCATGAATATTTCCTTCTTTAGATAACTCTGGTGGACGAGGTGATCTCGTTGCGGCCATAAAGCGGGTTGCGTACTCAGGATGTTCTGTGTCCATCCATTTGTCCCACCAGGTAAAATAGAGGCCAAAATTGGAACCTCCGTGTGAGTGATGTAAGTCGTGATGGGTTGTGGTAGTGATCCATCTCAGTAGTGGCGCCTTCAACCACCAACTAGGAAATAGTTCGATACCCGCATGCCCAATGACGTTTCGCACAATCATGTGTGTCACGAACAAAAACACGGTAACTTGGTGCAGGGGCAACAGCAGAGCGGCTAGTATCAGGATGCCAGCTTCCAAAATCGCCTCTAGAGGCGCGAATGCGTAGGCTGCCCAGGGTGAGGGTGTTTTCGACTTATGGTGGACGCGATGCGCCAGGCGATACAGCCAACGTGTATGCATAGCCCTATGCACCCAGTAGAAATAGGCATCGTGAAGTAGAACGATCGCGATGAATTCTGCTATCAGCCGCCCGATGCCAGGGAGCTCGCCACCATAGATGCTGAAAACACCTGCTTCACTTCCGAGATAGATCGAGAAACCTACCAATGAGAACAATACAGTCGTACTGAGCGAATAGCCGATTTCGCGTTGATAATCCTTTCGTGCTGGACGTCTCGACTGGATTCGCCGATTTGCCAGGGGTGCTGCGAACACCGCTAACACACCCGAGAGTGTACTTGCGGCAATCAGATACCGAGACAGGTCTAACATAAAGATAGTCGGCCAAACCGTGAAGAATGAGTCGAACAGACACGCGTACTGCATCCTGATGTAGCTCCAAACATTGCTGACGAGGATGCAATGTAGCGTTAGGGAACGTACTTAATCTCGCCGGAACTGCCGGATGCCAGCTAACTTCGAATTAGGCGTGATTTATTCGGAATCGGTACGTTTCGAACTAAGGGCCGACTGTCGGAATTCAGTCGGCGTCATGTTTGTGGCAGCTTTGAAGGCGCGATTGAAGGGGCCGATCGAGCCATAACCTAGCTCTAACGCAATCGTTAGAACTGGCGTGCGCACTGCCTGGGGATCGGCAAGCGCAATCTTTGCGTCGGCAACACGATAGCTGTTGAGGAATTCAGAAAAGTTTCTAAATCCGAGGTGCCCGTTTATCAGTTTTCGCAAATGATGCTCAGGGTGATTTAGTTGTTCAGAAAGGGATCGAATTGTCAGTCCTGACTGTTGGTGTATGCCCTCGCTAATGGCCGAAAGCAACGCCTGTTTCAAGACGTGTTCTGCTGCGCCAAGCGCTTCTGAGTCTTTGTCTATAGGTTGCTTGCCGCGCACAGGAAGCGGTGCAAAGAACTCCGGATTGAGCTCCAAGAGGGGCACTGCGAACCCTACTGTTAGAACAGCAATCACAAGCACATTGAGGAAGACTAGCCAGGATGGTTCAGTGCCGCCCATAGCTAGCTCAACTGCCAGTACAATTCCAATTTGGGTGGCGACGATAGCTACAAAAAACAAACGAAATCGACGCCGACGCTCTATGAGATCGTTTGATCGACCATTTACGGCTATCCAGAGCGCGTGAGCTACGGCTGCGAGCGACGCCACATGCATGGCGATGCTTGCAATACCCGCCCAATCGCCACCAAGAGAAGCCTCTGTAATAAAGACCATCCAAACGCAAAGTGCGATCAGCGCGAAGCCGGCAAGCACCCACCACGGTGGCCAGGCAGCCTCGAAGATAGCTCGGGCGAACAACCACAAGCAATACGGAACGATGATCGCGAAGAGCATCAAAATTGGCGATACGAGCACAGTAGCGTCACTCAGGAATGGATCCGAAACCAGGAGATACGCTGCGATGCCTAGCAGCAGCAAACAGCCACTGAGCCGTGCAGCGCGGCTCCCTTTGCTAAAGAGGAAGATGGCGACGAACAGTAGGTCTTGACCAATGATTGCGATACGGAATGCAGTTTCGAGTGAAGTCATAGCATCATATTGAGACCCTTGTGGTGCTCAAGCAAGGTGATAACCAGCTTAGGAACGCCTTCGGTTAAGAGTTGAACTTCAGAAATGGGTTGCTCGCGAACGGTATTGAGTTGTTTAAGTA